ATCACTTTTACCTGCCTAGGGAGCTCTCTGCTCTTGTAGACTGTCCTCACCAAATGGAGCTCTGGGGGGCAGTGCCTGGGGCCATGGGTGACACAGTGACAGTGGGCCTGCCTGGTAGGGTGGCCTAGTTCAGGGGTGCAGAGACCTGAACTCTTACCTGGTTCCACACCTGAACACGCCCAGCTGACTGGTCTTCCTGATCCAGGTCACCTGGAGGGCCAGCCTTCTTGCTCTGGAGAAAGCCCTCAGCTCATCGGCACCTTCACTCACACACCCAGCATGCAAGAGAAAGGAGGGGGCTCAGTCAGCAGAAGGTGGGAGCCCCCCATCCCAGGCAGGGGGTGGGGATGACCAGAATCCAGCCTGGGTCCCATACATCTGCAAACCACCAAACCGGGAATCTGAGAGCCACAGGGCCCACTTGCAAGAGCAGGGTTTTTTCCATTGGAATTCCAGACAGATGACGCTCTGAGCAGGAAGCCCGAGAGGCTGCCAATGGCCAGCAGCCAGGTGCTCCAGACTCCTGCCTTTTCCAGGCCGGCCGAGGGCCCAGCCCCACACAGGGGGTGGGGGCCAGTTCTCCTGGGACCCCGTGAGGGCCCAGAGGAGAGCCCCATCCCCTGAGCTGCCCAGAGCGGGCTCCCAGGCTGGATGGCTCTGTCCTGCCACCTTTCCCCTCCTGGAGCTGTGGAGACCAAGGCCTGCAGGCCTGAGTGGTGAGCAGGGTCAGAGCCAGGAGGCAGCTGGGGCGGTAGGCGGACTGGGGACTCCGGGCCAGTGTTCCAGCCCCTCTCTGCCCTTCTTCCATGTGCAAATTCCCTGGCCCTCAGGTGGCCCCCTTGGCGAGCTCACCACTGGGTCATCTTTTATACAAAATTCTCTTATTCCTGTTTCACAGCTGAGGAACCAGGCCACATGGGACCCGGGACCCGCAGGAGCTGGGAGCATCCACCTGCCTTTGCCCTTTGTGGCTCGAGGTATCCCGCAGCGTGATTGAAAGCCCAGAGCCTGGTCTCACCCCAAAACTATGTGTCAGTGTGAAATACCGAGGCTGCCCGGGTTCAGAGTTGGCTGCCCTGCACCAAGATTACTCCCCAGGGCCGGGGCGAGTCAGGGCTGGGACTGGGTTCTGATGGGGCGGGGGGGACCTCCATTTCTGCCCTCAGCCTCCCAGCGCCCCCACCCCTCTCCTCGTCCTGGTCCCTCCCCCCAGCCCACGGTGGCTGGGCAGAGCTGGGATGGACCCTGTGTGCCCCACAGTGCGCCAGGCTGGGCAGCAGGCAGCTGGAAGCCAGGAGCCTTCTCCACCAGAGATGTGGCCGGGAGGTGGTCCTGGTGCACGAGTGATTACAGGGAGGGGGGAGGTGTGCAGGATCAACGTGAGCCCACGTGCCCACCTGTGATGGGTGCAGGAAGGCTGCCTGAGCTGGCAGCGAGGTTGGGGTGCTAGCTGGGGTCTCGTGGGCAGGTCCTGACCTGGCTGAGGGGTCTGGATTCCCCCTCTGAGGGGTGTGTGCCTGATGCCATGCCCCAGGAGGCAAGACCCACACACCCTGGATGTGAGGCCTCAGCGAGGGCTCCAAGGGGCCAGCGGGGCGTGGAGGGCAGGGGTCCCCAGGGAACAGCAACTCCACCCCCGCCCTGCATTGGCCTCATAAAGACACGGGCACAGGAGAGCACCCACTGCGTGGCCCCCACCTCACTGCCACGTCCACCTCACCCCACGAGCCCTGCTAAGCCCCTTGCAGCCCCTAAAGGTAAGGGCAGGGGGAGGGGGAGATTTGGCTACATGGGGTGGGCAGGGAGAGCTTGTGGGGGGCTGGGGACTCTGGGAGGGGGCAGCAGGTATAAGCACGTGGCCCACTTTTTCCTGGGGAGGACGTCTTGGTCCAGGACCCACCCTGGGTGTACAGAGAACCTGGACGGTGCCCACCCACCTCCCCCCTTCTCTCCCCTCCCTCCTCCTGTCACTGGAATTTTCCGGGAATGGGGCCTTTCCTAAGAGACCCTCCCAAGCTGTCTGTTCTTTAGCAAGGGGCATGGGAGGAGACAGGTGAATGCCCCCAGGCCTGGGAAACCCAGGGACAACTGGTGGGGACAGGGGGCTCAAGCTGGGCACCTGGCCAGGTGTGCGCTGCAGCAAGATTCCAAGCCTCCACCTCGTGTGTTCACTGGGATGGGGGGTGGTAGCCATGACCCACATGCTGCAGGGTGGGAGAGGTGCCCTGCATTGGGGCAGGCAAGGCCCAGCCCTCCCAGAGCCCCCACTGGGCTTCTCGGGAATGGGGGCTCACCTGCACCCCCAGCTCCATTGGGATCTGCTTGGCCTCAAGGGTGCTGAGATGGAAGGAACATAGAGGTGATGCCAAGAATCCTGGCTCTCTGGGCACCGATGCTGAAAAGAAATACGGAGACAGAGTTTTGGAGGAACGGGAAAGATAGCTTTTCTTATTCTTTGCCTGGCAAAGGGGGAACACAGCAGGCTAGCGCCTTGAGAACTGTGCCTCCCTTTTCCTGGGAAGGGAGAGAGTTTTATATTCCAGGGCTCATGGTCTATGGATAGGTGATAAGTCTCAAAGCAATGAAGGTCTTGTATTTTTTTTTTTTTTCTTCTGCAAATTTTCAGCCAAAAGCTGGCGTCAGGCAGCTCAGCGACCCAGTCTGGTGTCCCCGAAGTTGTCACTGTGACCTTCCTTTTGAGATGCAGAATCCTACAAGGAAGTGTAGGGGAGAAGGACGCCAGGTGCAGAGTATAATTCCTATGGAATCAGAAAGTAATTAGCTTTGTGAAGGACAAGTCTAGCCACAAGTGTTAGTAGTAACAGCTAAAGAATAACTGAGATTGCTTAACTCTTTCAGGCCTGTTTGGCTGGTACGTGCCCAAGGCCGTTTACTCATTTCTATTTTTTTATTTTTTTTAATTTTTTGCTGCAACAAAGGTGGGGCCTCAGATCTGCAGAGGACAGAGCACAGCCATCAGTGCTGGTCCAGAGCCTCCCCTGCCACTCTGCAGGGCATGGTGTGCTGGCCAGCAGGGGAGGTTCAGGCCCCCGAGGGTGAACAGGGGTACAGAGGGGCTACTAGGGGCCGAGTTAGTAGACAGGAGCCTGCAGGGCCCATTCCTGGGGCAGAATGGGGGCGTTAAACTCAAGATCAAGATAAGAAACTGGTATTAATGTGTCAGTACATCCAAGGAGACCCCGAGATGGGTTGGATGTGGACTTAGGATGTTTCCCTCTTCCCTGGGGCCACCGGGAGCCTCAGGCCTGAAGTTCGATTGACATCTGGGTCACTGGTGTTCTCCCGTGCTTGGCCTCAATCTGCTTTGTCATTTTGTCTGTCTTACTGCTTTGTACTTTGTCAACACTTCTCAGATTGTACACACGCTGGGGGATAAACTCTTGCTGCTCCCACCTGCCCCCACCTGCCTCCCCCCGACACACCCCGGCTAAGCACTGCCAGGCCCCTGAGTTTGGTGTGACTGGCTTGGTTTCTGGAATACGCTGCATCATTCAGGACTCACATTGCTGGGGTCTTGGGGCCTTGGCCCCCAGTCTCAGGGATAAGCAGAAGTGTCCCCAAACTCTTCCTCCCTGTGAAAACCTCTAGAAGGTGTGAGAGGCTCTGAGACGCTGTGACTTCAGAAGGCAAATGAGCCAGTACCCGGCGGCCGGGGCAGAGATGCCGCCAATTAGGGGGCTGGTGGCTGGGACCACTTCCCTGGACTGCATGAGAAATACCTGCGCCCGAGGCCCCACAGCACAAGCCCAAGAGATGCCCGGGAGTCAGTGCTGCCTGGGGGCTGAGGGCTGGTGGGGACCGGGGCAGCTCGGTCCCCAGTTCTCTTGTGAAGACCATGTTGGAGGAGAGAACACGGACGCGAAGTGGCTCCAGGATTAGAAGATCAGGACTGAGAAGCAGCATGGATCCCATTCGAGGTGGCTCCAGTTGTAACTCGAAGGGGAACAAACAGGCTGGTGTTCTGCTCTGGGGCCAGCCCTGAGACAGGCTGGGCAGCTGCGGAGATTTCTATAAACAGCAACCTCCATGCCGTCCCGCCAGCGGCATCTCTGTGGCCCCTGCGACAACCACCCGAAGCCACGGCGCCCTGCTCTGCGGCCCCTGCCCACCGGCCCCGCCCTAATCACGGGGATGCCACAGCCACATCCTTCCCGCCTTCTCACGCTCACGCCCGGTCCCGCTGTCTGTCGCTGCCGAGCACCTTCCGAGCCTCCCGGAACCCCAAGGCAAGGCGAGAGGTCAGCCACACCTGCCCACCCGGTGAGAAAGCAGAGGCCCTGCACAGCGGAGGTGCCCAGCCTCAAGGTGGACACAGGGACCCCACCCTCCCTGCACTGGCCGAGCCCAACTCCCACACAAATGGTGGGGCCACACCTGCCCTGCATGCCCTCCCTGGACGCCCTCCCTGGCACGTTGTGATCTTCTGCCATTTCCTCCTGCGCGGGGCAGGTGAGGTAACTCGCAGCTGGCTCGGACCCCGTCCCACTGGGTCAGCTCCTGACCTGATGTTTCAGCTTCCGCTCTCACGGAGGCTCAGCCGTGCTCAGACCTGGCCCTGGCGGCCAGCTCACCAGGAGAGACAGAGCGGCAACCCCTTCTTTCCAGCAGTGAGACCAATGCTCGTGTTCTTTGATTCAGACTAAACACTTTTATTAGGAAATAAATCACTCAGCAGAGGATGTGCCAGGAACGTCCTCTTCTCCCTGGAACACACCACATCTGCTCTCAGTCAGGACCGTCCCGTAGGACGGAGATGCCCATGCGGCCCCAGGTGAGCGCTTCTGGAGGTCACCGGCATGGGCTACGCATCTTCTCTTATTTTAAAAGAAGGACATTCTTTTTTTTTTTTTTTTTTGCCACGCAGAGTGACTTGTGGGATCTTAGTTCCCCGACCAGGGATTGAACCCATGACCTCAGCAGTGAAAGTGCAGAATCCTAACCACTGGACCGCCAGGGAATTTCTAAAAAGAAGGACATTCTTGCTTTTGCCCAAATATCTTTATTTCTTTGTCCAAGTACCTCTGTGATGATTATGAACAGGAAAAGTAGCAAAGAATGTCAATTAAAACCAATAACTTACTTATTTCCAAAGCACTTTAACCACAACTAAACCATCAGACCCCCCCGCTCCTTAGATGTAGTGAGTGGCCAAGTGGGCTGTGGAATACCCGAGAACGTCTGCCCATCCTCACGCCGAGGGTAAGGCGTCATTCAGATAACGTGAAGGTTACGGAACAAAGTGAGGCCTGCACGGGGCTTTCCTGTCGGAATTCGCATCTCAACCTGAGACCAGAGCAACAAACCTTTGAAAAGCCAAGACAGGAGAAGCCAGAGGACAACCTGGATGGGAGGGGGTAGCTTTTCCTGCACAGGACTGAGGCCGGCTGGTCCAGCCTAGAGACAGTGTCCCCAGAGCATCGCCAACCCTAAGGTCAGCCCTGCCCGCCACCCAGAGCGTGGGCTTCATCCTTCCCAGATCTGCCCAAAGTCCTTTAAAAACAGGAACCACGATCCAGGCCATCATGTGGGTGGTGGCCCTGCCTTTCTGGAAACTGCAACCATGACCCAAAAGGGAGCAGATCCCAAGCCACTGTCTGCACGTGGAAGCTCGGCCCCTACAGCCCTGAGACACGCATATCATCACCACGGTGCAGAAGGGACACCCGGCAAACCAAGGGGCGGACCCAGGGGTCCTGGCTTCCAGACCCTCATGGAGCCTCCTCAGGTGCCACGCAAATGGCTCATCCCAGGGTCCAGGAATGCTGCCCCTTTCTGTATGAGCCCAAGCAGCCCTGTGACTGCAGAGTGTGGGGAGCATGTGGGGCTGCGGTGGCCGTGTCCACAGGTCCATGCTGGGTGGGCGAAGGGGAAAGTGTTGAGGCTCCTGGGTCAGGGTGGCCGGGAGAGTCCTGCTCCCAGAGCCATTTCTGGGGATCCCTTTGCACTCACAGCGGGTGATCAGCTGTTCTCCCAGAAGATGCCCAAACCCCAGGCCAGTTGCTTTGTGGGGCGGCCCTGGGACCTTGCCCGACCCTGGCAGAAGCCAACTGATGGACATGCTGCCCTTATCTTGGGGCCGCGCTACCCAGGCTTCCCCCATGACCAGTTTATTTACTATTCCTGGCTCCCCTGTTACTTTTATGTAAAACGCATGGACAGCTCCAGGACGAGAAGAGGGTTGCTAAGACCTGAACCTGAGCAGACGGACCCTCAGCTTGGCAGAAGGCCCCAGGCGAGCTGCGGATGGCCACGCTGGGAACACCCTCGGACCTTGTGTCAGGGACCCTGTCTGGTGATGGGGCAGAGCCCAGCCTGGCATGAACATGGTGCCAGGGTGACTCTCAGTGGCCAGCAGTGTTGGGGGCTCTGCCCAGAGTCGCCAGAACATCAGATGTTCGCCTCCACCCAGAATCCAGCAGTATCAGCCCTCCAGCTGCTGTTCCCAGAGCCGCCTGCCCCCAGAACCTTCTCCAAGGTGCCATAATGCTGATTCTGGTTCCCCGAGTGGAGGCTGCTGGCCCCACTCAGCTTCATCCACACTTAAGTCAGTCTCCAGTGGCCGGGTAATGACACTCTGTCTGCTGACAAACGGGGATTCCACCCCGGGCACGGGATCCCTTCCTGAGAAAAGGAGGGCATGTTGGCCCTGCCAGCTCCCGGGCCCCACATCAGCATAGCAAAGCCAACGCTGATGCCTGTGAGGGGAAACTGGTTCCCTCCATTTACTCACAGTTGAAAAATGATCAAATGTTAGCAAATCAAAATTCAGGATGATTCGTAAGGCACCTTGTTCAGTGGAAATGGGCTGAGCGAGAGGGAAGGGGTGTGTGGCCAGCATGGCTGCTTCCCTGCAGGGCTGCTGGACAGGCCTCCCGGGGCTATGTGAATGTTGGGTCCGCGATGCCATGGTCAGGGTCGCAGGTGAAGGCGATGGTGATGGCGTAGCGGGTGCCCCAGTGAACCTTCTCCACCCGGTGCAGGTTCTCAGACCCCGAGGTGAAGAAGGACACCCGACCTAGGAGAGAGGAGAGCAGAGCATGACTTCAAGGCCATATGTGTGGCCGGGCCTCAGAGGACCTGTGTTTAGGCCAATGCAGCAACACGACCAACCGGGCAGGCTGGAGAAACAGCTGATGCAGGAAGGCGGGGGTTGGAGACAAACCAGCAGGAGAGCCCTCGCACAGGACGAAGGGCACCCCAAGCACCCAGCCCAGCCTCCGCGGGCTCTTTGTGGGGCAACCTGGACTTGGGGTGAGGCCCTGCTGCCACCCCCAGGGGCCTCTACAAGCCATGTGACCTCCTCAGGCCCACCTTATGATCTTCTTTCTTTTTTTTTTTTTTTATGATCTTATTTCTAATCACACATGAAACAAAACCAAACCCTGCGAGGTGATGACAATGTTTTGGCAACGGATCAGGGAAGGCGTGTCGAGACAGACACCCAGCGCCTGTAGCTCCCTCCAGGGCAGCTAAAGACAGGACTCGGGAGGCGGCTTCCGAGCGTCCTGGAGCAGGGGTCCTCCACCCACCTGTGTTCAGAGAACCCCGTGTTTATGGGCTTCCATATTTAACTGGTCTCATACACCCACCATAGATTTTTTAGGACAAACGAGTTGACCGTTACAGAATCGTGTGGGAGGAGCCCCGGGATCCTGTAGGCGCCGCGTCACCGCCACACGGCCCTGCCCCAAATGTCCCATGACAACTTCATTTCTCTTCAAAAGGTCACTGCCAGGAACTCAACTGCTAAATCTTTGAGAGAGGAGAAAAGTCTACCCCAGAGTCTGCTGCTTTCTGGTTGTAAACAGAGAACCGTGCTCTGCCCGGAAACAAGGGAGCAAAAGAAATCGTGTGACACACGGAAACCTCTGCATGGGGGCCCGGGGACACCAAGAACTCAGACCCTCCTCTGCACCAGCCAGGCCGCCCCTGACCTGAAGGAAACACTCTTTCCCAGAGCAATCTGGAGTCACGCCACTTTCTGAGGCTCACGTTGCTAAAGGACGTTTTGTCCTCAGTCTTTCCACTTTTAGTCACACCTGAGACCTCAGACACGTAGCCAGGCCCGTCTGCCCATCCACGCCATCTGTGCACGCCTCTGTCGCCACCCCACTGCAGACACAGTTATCAAATGTCGCCGACTTACAGCAAGAGTGGGGGTCTCTGGGCGCCCCCCCCACACCCCAGCATTTCTGCACACTTTGCAAACAGAGGCACCAAAGAACAGAGAAGAAAAGGACTGAGGAAAAGTGAAGCTCCTCGTGGCCTGTGGGACAATAGGAAACCGTCCACCATTCATGTTGGAGCCTCGGAGAGAGGAGGGGTTCATACTGGGGCAGGAAAAGGCGATCTGAAGAAATAATGACCAACACTTTCCCTAATGTGACGAAACTTTGACTTTTAATCCAATAAGCTTAGCAGGATAAATACTCCAAGTGGGATAAATACAAACAACTCCACACTGAGGCACATCATAGTCAAACTGATGAAACCAGAGATTAGAGAACATCCTGGAGGTGGCAGAGCAAAGAGGCAGCTACTATGGGGCAGTGACAGCGGTGACAGCAACAGGGGAGCCAGAGGAAAGGGATGATGCTTTTAAAGAAAAAGGAAAAAAACCCACCAATCCAGAATTTCACATCCAGTGAAAATATCTTTTAGAAAAAAGGGTGAAATAAGGACATTTTCAGAAAAACCATCACCAGCAGACCTGCACTCCAAGAAATGCTGAGGCGGAAGGGGAATGTACCTGTTGGAAACCTGGATGCACAGGAGGGGACGGAGGGCTCTGGAAAGTAAGTGGGAAAACTGAAAACATTCAGCATATTTTCCTGTTAATTTCCATAAGAGAGAATGAACTCTTCTAGGGAAAATGATAACCTCTTTGGCACAGCCTGTCAGAGCAGCTGCATCACGCTCCCCGCCAAACGCCAGGCTCCCGGTGACGTCTGTGCGGATGGGACAGAGTTAGTGACTCTCGTCCTGTTGACCCGGAACGGCAATCTGCTGACCCAACCCAACGTCAACGTGATAGCTTGTTGAGGAAAGGCCCGCAAGGGCTCACAATCTTGCCTAAGACCTTCTTTCCTTTTTAATGCACCAGTAGTTAAGCCCCACACCTATTCTGACAGCTCCCAAGTCCAGAGTGATCAACACAATGACGGGCACGACACAAACACCAGGAAGAACCCGAGGGCAGGCCGCCAGTCATCAGAACCAGGAGGACACTGTTGGCATGAAATCACCACCCGCGCAGTGACCAGCAGGCCAGCGCTGGTAACTCACCCCACAAGGCGTAACACTCACACGGAGGCGACGGCCCACCCAACCCCAGAAACGTGAAACTTTCGGCATTCATGAACAGTGCTTTCTGGCTTTTTATTTTCTTCAGTAAACAGCTATTAGATTATCACCCACTTCTTTAAAGCAGGATTTAGCTCGGCAACTTAGTAACCAAAAATACAGTCATCTCCGTTTTTGGAACCCACCTGCATTTCTCCTCTTAGTCCACAAGCATTCCTGGACACCTCCCAGAAGCACGTGACATGTGACCCCCAGCCTTAGCACCAGCAGCTTCTCTGGCTCTTGGTCCATTAAAGCCTTGGAGCTGCAGGGCGTTCTGAGCCCCTCCTGCCCACTGACCTGCGCCTGGGTCTGCCCCCCTCCAGCACTCACCCCCTGAGGGAAGAGAGCCAGTCCTGAGCTGTTTAACTTCCTTTCTACACCTCCTGATGTCCAAGCCACTTCTGCGTGGATTCAGCGCTACTGCAAGGAGCATTTGGACTCAGTGGCTTGCAGGACCGCCTCATGGCTGACGGGAACATTCTAAACCAACACAGGTGGACAGCCTCATTGGTTTGAGCTGCCTGCTGCCAGGCGGAAGCGGACACAGCTACACACCCAGTAAGCAGGGTGACGCAGTGGGGTCGGGTGAGCCACGGCAGCAGGTGAGTGGTGCTGCACAGTCGAGGTGCCCAGGCCGGAGCCAAATGGCCTGGCTCTGTCTCTGAGTCTCATCTGGGGCTGGGCCGGGGCCTGGGCTGCCCCTCAGGAAGCCCCTGGGGGATCCCCGCCCCTCCCCACCCCAAAACCTGGGGAGGAGAGGGGACGCTTCCTCGCTCCACACATGCTCACTGAGCAGCACTGAGTGTCCGAGCTGGGCTGGGGGCAGCGGGAGCTCTGGGACCACCAGGTCGGGTGTGGTTTACCAACATTAGGTGAGGATCACTGCCTCATCCGTCTGTCTTAAGCTTCTGAGTCACTACAGGGGATGGAGTGGGGGCTGGCTCTGGGAACTCACTCCGCAGTGACTCAGTGACCGTGGCCACGCCCACTTCCTCCTCTGACGAATGTGCTCCATGGACACACTGGACACACCGTAAACGCTGCATCCCGGGAAACGCCCGCCCATGAGTCCTACCTGCTCTCGGCTCCACCGTCTTGTTGGCCCCCTCCTCCATGAACACAAACCGCCCACCACCGAAGTCATCCAGGTAGTCGGAGAGGTACAGCAGCGATGTGTAGTCGAAGGAGCCGTAGGTCACCTGCGGGGCAGAGCGTGAGGGCGTGTCACCGTCTGCTTGTGGGAGGACACGCTCCTCAGGGAGGGACAGACCCAGGCCTCGCTCTGCCTCCCAACTACAGAAAACCCTCTGCTGAGCACAGGCGTGCGGTCCTGCCTGGTTCCCGCACAGTCAGAGGCGCAGCCCACGCCAAGAAGCCCACACGCGTGAGCCCCAGGGCCGCCACGCCACCCACCCACCCACCAATAGGACCCTCCCGCGTCAGCACAGGGAGCAAAGGTGGTGCTTCCGCTCCTTCTCCAGATGTGGGCACCCCAAGCTTTCTTTTAAATTGTGGTAGAATACACAAACCATACAATTGACCACTTTACCCATCGTTGAGTGCACAGCTCAGGGGCACTAAGCACATTCACACTGCTGTGCACCCACCCCCACCGACCATCGCCAGAACTCTTCAACCTCCCAAACTGAAACTCTGTTCCCATTAAACACTAACTCCCCACCACCACCACCCAGTGCCCACGCTACACTGTCTGTCCTTTCCTGTCTGGTCCTCTTTGCGTGGACATTCTTTTGGAAGATGGCATGGGCGGTGGAAAGCAGGGGATGGGGGGTGAAATCTGTGCTCTGGGCTCATAGGAGCGTGGACCCTCTGGGCCTGGATATAATGTAAACAGGAGGCACTATCATTTGTTTCCCAAGGACCCCTTGAAGTCCGGGACGGGAGGTGGCCGGATAGTTGTCCCATCTGTGGATCTTCAGGACTTACTATAGGTAAGGGGTGCCACATGAAGAGCTTGATTTCAATGTGAGATAGAGGAGTTTGCTGTCTGTAATATGTGAAGCAGGTGTTGTTTCCAAGGACATAAGAACTCATACAAATTAGCACCTACTTATTAGAGGGAATCAGTGAGATAGGCTATTTTTTTTTTTCCACGCAAAGATAGTGACTTGCATGTACAAGGAATTTTAATCACATGATAACAGCTCCCAGCCTGAGGAATCATTCAATTAGTAAGACTGGGATAAGAGATAAGGAAGAATGAAAGAGTCCGAGGACAGCAGCCCAAAGTCATCCTACCAGTGCCCTATCGCACAGCCCAAGGCTCCTGTGTTTAGGAATAGATTCTTAAATGATTTTACTGACGCCTGTAGGCACCATGGGAGCGGTACACAGAAGCCCCAGGTCAATATCCATAACACATTTGATCAAGGCTCAAAAAGTCCAAAAGCCCCGCTCCCCCTGCAACCAGCTAGACCACCATCACCGTGACAGTGGTCATCTCCTGAGAGAGGGTGGGCTGACCAGGAGGGAGAGGCAGCAAGCCTGCCAAGGTGACTGAGTCCCTGTCACCTTCTCATGAACTCAGTACCATGCCATCTGTGGGACTGGACTTTCTACACAGACCTGAGCTCCCTCCACCTCCCCCACCAAGACCCCACTTAGGGGCCCCTTATCCAGCATCAGGGCACCAAACAAACATCAAAGTGACCTAAACCTGAGAACAGCCCAGGGCAGTGCTTCTGAATCGCTTCAGCAGTGAACCTCATGTCCACTACCTGTATAAAACATAAAAGAGACCCGGGGGCGGGGGGTGTCCAGGAGCCTGACCCTCTCCTACCCACCCAGCTCAGATTCTGCAAAAGAACCACCCCAAACCCACATGAACACAGTGACCTGGGAAGGAGGCAGGTAATGGCAGGTGATGGGATGGCAGAGGCCAGCGGGGCCTGAGCTGTCCTGAGCTAGAGGCTGGAGAGCTTCAAGGGAAGGAGCAGATGCATGGGGTCCCCTTGTGCGAGTACGTCTTTTTGCTGTGTCCATGCGTGAGTGACCCCTTGGCTGTTATAGCCACCCTGGTCCTGTAGACCCTGTCCCAAGGTCTCCTGGCTCTGAGATGTCTGAGGCTACCCCACTGGTCACTGTTGACTCGTTTTCTCTGCCTGAAGAATTTCTTCCTTATCTTTCTTCCTTTGAAGCTGGATCACCAAACCAGGCTACATTCAGTGTTGTCTTTCCTGAACCCACACTTCCTGGTACATGGAGGGCTGCTCTTCCTTCGTTGCAGGGAAATTCTCCGGACTCCGTCCCACGCATGAGGCTCCTTGCTGTGCGAACCTGTCTGTCCTCCACACACGTCGTCTTTGCCCTCAACCCCATAAAACCCTGTTTTTCCCTCTGCAATATCTACGATGATCTTATACTGAAGGTCTCGGTCCTGGTCCCCTAATGAAATAATGCACCTGGGCAATGGTTATCAATGGGTCAATGGCTGCTAGAGCCATGAAGTGAGGGTGGACAGGAGGCTTGATCGTGGATGGATCAGACCGAACCCACTGATCAACCTTAAGCCCATGGGAAGAGAACGAGCAGACACTGTACTCCCCCTTAGGGTGAAGCCCACACTTCCAACCCGAGTTCCATCGAGCCCTCCAAGCTGCACTGGCTCAGACAAGCCACTGGCCACATAAAGCTACTTCAATTTAAGTTAATTTAATTAAATACTGGGTTCCTCAATCTCACTAACCACACTTACGTGCTCCCCTCCTCCACTGAGCTCAGACAGTCGAGATGAAATAAACACATGCGTATCTGACTGAACTTCAGGCAGAAGCCCAACCTGCGAGCTTCTGCCCAAACCCTCTGCTTACTTTTCACTTCGCTTCCTGTGTTCCAGGGTCAAGCAACACAGAGATTATCTGGGTCACCTGAGCACACCCGCGGCTGGGGTGACCGCCAACAGCCCTCAGACGTTTCCGTGGCCAACCGTCCCCTGGCGCCACGCTGCGTGTGCTGGCTGAGTGGGGCGGGGCAGTGGCTGCAATGCAGGCGGGAGAGGGCTTCAGCTGTGGCTGACCAGGACCGCAGATTGATTAGGCGCCACTGTGTCTAGGGAACAGCAAGAGATCAAGAAAGGGGAATTTGCAGAATCTGGAGTGGTCGAGAAATCTTCCCAAGGAAAGGTGAAAAGTGGGAAGAAGGGGGCCTCCTGGGCAGGGTGCGGGACGCAGGCCCGAGGAGAGACCACACGACAGAAAGGCCAGGTCAGTCAAGGCCGGGTCAGGTTATATCCGACGAAGCTCACAGCTCAGGTGGAGACAGCTCTGCGTGTGGGAACAAGTAGCAAAGGATGGTCCCCATCAGGCCCTCACTGTTCTGTAATGTGCTTGTCACAGTCTTCTGTCACCTCATCACGCGAGAAACAAATCTTATCTCCTCGACCTCATCAGTGAGAGAGGAAACTTCTAAAACCCTGACCACGTGAACAGACAGCACCCAGCTTGGGCCGTGGTGGACAAGCCCCAGGTTCGCTCACCTTGTCCACGTGCGCGTGCCAGTACTCGTCATGAGCCGTGCAGGCCGCCGTGCTGTTGATGCGGGAGAAGAAGGTGGGCTTCGTCAGGTGCAACAAGGACGCGCTGATGCCAAATGCCTGGGCGATTGCCAGCTGGACCTTCTGCCGCAGGTCCCTGCCGAGACGACACAGGTGTCAGCCACACAGGAAAGAATTCTCCCCGGGCCCATAGGGCCCGCACCATGTGACACTGAAACGGAGCAGGACCCTCTGGTCCTTGCCCCCAACCCCCATGTTCTCAGCCTGCCTTTTGTCTGTGGAAACACTTTAGCCAAAGAATAAGTTTAATCAGAGAAGTGAGAAAATGCAGAAACAAAGGAAAATAGTCAAACGAGACCAAATAATAATAGTTTAGTCATTAAGCAAAGTCAAGGACCTTTAGTTCCCCCTCAAGGGCTATAGATAATATTCTGAGCCATATCCTGTGAGCTGTTTTGCAGATACTGAAGCCCCCACCAGGCTGAAGGAGGATGACTACATGATGACCGAATTGAAGCCACGACATAAGCTACTCCACTTCACACAATTCCGAGAACTGGCCTCAGAGAAATGGGAACAAACTCTGGAACTAAAGATTAACTGTACTTAACCAAGATGACGCTGGTCAGACCACATTACTGGTTTCAAGCTGACTGTCAGAACTGACTATGCTGTTCTGCTCCCTCTCTCTGCCTATACAACCCTGAAACTCCCCTTTAAAAGCCCCTGTCCCCTGAGCAGCAATCAGGAGTTGGTTCTCAGACAGGAGTCCACCCTCTCCCCCGGTTGCTGGCCCCTGAAATAAAGCAACCTTTCCTTCCCCACCAACACTTGTCTCTCAAGAATTGGCTTTCGAGCAGCGAGCAGCTGGACCTGGGTTCGGTAACACTACAGAAAGACAAGGGCTGGCAAAGGTGAAAGGTGAACAGATGCACACACAGGTCCGCACACGTGGGACAGGGTATCACGTACACACCCAGGAACCTGAGGGCCAGTTCTCTGCAGGACTGACCCCAGCACTCCCAGCCCTGCCACCACCGTCCCCCTTCCTGACCTGGGCATTCCTTCCCTCACCGGTACAACTGGAAGTCCTCTTCTGAGAAGATAGTTTGTATTTTATCCCCAAAGTATCTGTGAAAAAATGAGTATTGACAAATGTGATGTTTTATTAATGTTTCCTTATTTCCTTTAAATTCAGCCTTTCCTCCAGTTAACCAGCAAGTCCCTGAAAACCAGCTGGTCCTTATGATCTTGGAGCTGCTCCTTCTACAGTGATAACTGTGTGATAAAAGGGAGGAGGGTGGGAGGGAGGGACCTGGCAGGTGGGGTGACATTTATCAAGGTTGGGGGAATCTCTTGCTTCTCCTGGCCCTCGGGGAGGATCAAAGCTTCTCAGGAGGCAGCTCTCAGGAGCCTGGCCTGCCGCTCACCTCTCCCACCTCTCCCTCCAGCCCCACCCCTTGGTCCATTCCTAACTAAGCTGTTCCCTGAAGCTAGCTGGCAAGGATCCCGCCCTTCGGAAGAGCTGCACCTTCCAGTCCTCATCTGGCCTCGGCCCGATGGCAAACGTCGCAATTTACCCAAGACTTGAAGCCGCTCTGATCCATACACGCAAGCCTCACTCAGGTGTCTCCAGCTAAGAAACGAGCAGAGACCCCACCCCACCCCCGACCCCGGGGTTCTCACCTGTACAGGTTCACAAAGTGCTTCCCGACAGACAAGGCCCCCGAGTGCAGGTCCAGGATAGACGCCTGGAAAAGACGTTGGCAGGGCGGCGTGAGGGCTGCCTGGCAGGCGACTGAGCTCTAAAAGCCACCAACGTTAAACACGTGTTCCTGAGACCCATCTTTGCACACCTGGGTCAGGGCGACGATGCACATGGGCTGGGTGTCAAGACGTTTGGACAAAGGTGTGTGACGGCGGATATTTCTCTCCTGCCCTAAGAATGGAGACTCTCTGGTCTAAAATTCTGAAAACAGTCCACAGATACAGTTCCTCCATGGGTCTAAGAACAAGCCCTTCCCCCGGCTTTGCTGTGGTATAACCAACACACAACGACCTGCTCCTGGTTAAAGTGTTCAGTTTGGTAAGTTTTGATGCTGGCATGCACCAGTGAAACCACCATCACTACCAGGATAGGAAACACATCCATCACCTCAAATTTCCTTGCACCCTTTGCAACCCCTCCCTCCTGCCCCTCCCCAGGTGCCTTCTGCCACAGCAGCTGGTTACTTTCTAGAACCTGAGGCCCTGGAGTCATGAAGCTGCACTTCGCTCTTGGCCTGGCTCCTTTCACTCAGTGTTGCCTCCCTGTGACTCCCTCACGTCGGTGCAGTACCCGCTGCCCACTGTCTCATGGCCAAGGGGCACCCATCATTTGGGGAGGAGTCACTTGTTGGTCCATTCACCTGGAGATGGACACATGGGCTGTTTCCAGCTTAGGGCTGTTGTAAATGAAGTGGCTGTGACACTGGGACAGCATTTCATCGTGGGAGATGCTCTTATTCTCCTGGGTAAATGCCCAGGAGTGGAATCGCTGGGTCATAACCCTTTAATGAACAGCCAGTGTTTTCCATCCCTGCCCACCCTGCCTCCGGGGGGCCTTCCCACGTCTTGAGAGGGGAGTGGGCGCCAGCACGGACCACCTCTACCCTGTCTGGGTGTCTTTTCTCATGGATGCAGCGATCAGCCCAGGGGTTCGTCTGAACACAATTTGGGCTTTAAAAACGTTAACTGCACTTAAAGGTATCAAACCTGGATGATTCATTGCAAGACAACTTCCCGAGTAAATGCTGAGCGCCGGGCAAAAGATGAGTCCACGCACGAATAGGTTTTTAATAAATATTCCCCTGAACTGAACCAAAATAAAAGGAGAAGCTTAATTTTCAGATCTCAAGAGGAAAGAGCCTGCAGAATAAAAGACTCATGAAGATAATCACCAAACTATGCAGAGGAGAGTGGATCTTCCTACGGGCCCACATGCCAGGCGAGGAGATCCCCATTTGGGACCACACGAGAACTCCGGCCAACGTAAGGTGCTCGCAGGGGTGCACTCCTAAGCCCGCCCAGGAAGCGGATGAGATGCAGAGCTGAATTGGCCTGTCCAAGCTCCCCATGGTTGCCGTAAACAGTAGGCTTAAAACAGCAGGAATTCATCCTCTCAAGCTCTGGAGGCCAGAAGGCCGAGATCAAGGTGTCGACAGGGCCCCGCTCCTTCCAAAGGCGCCAGGGGAGGATCCTTCCTTGAATCTTTGGACTTCTGGTGGTCCCAGGGGTCCCTTGGTTTGTGCCACATCACTCCACCTCTGCCTCCATCTTCACACGGCCTCCTCTTCAATCTCAAATCTCCCTCTGCCTTCCTCTTCCAAGGACTCTTGTCATTGGATTTAGGGTCCATCCTGGTAATCCAGGAAGATCTCATCTTGAGACCCGTAACTTAATGACATCTGCAAAGACCCTTTTCCCAGGCAAGGTCCCATTTACAGTTCTGGGTGGATGCATCTTTCAGGGGCCACTGTTAGACCCCCTGCAGTCTCGCCTGGTGGATGACAGTCCCCATGCAGCACCTGTGGGAGCCTCCTCCACCTTGCATGGTCCTCACTGTTTCCCACCAGCTCCTCCTGCGTGTGCTGGCTCTCCCATTCCCAGGGCCGTCACCCTCCTCAGTCGGCCCCTGCTCGTCACCTGCTCTGTTCACTCACTGCCTACGACCTCCCCCCACTGCCCCCAACCAGGATGCCTGACACAAAGATGTGATCCGAGGCAGCCCTCCTGTGAAGGGAGGGGGTACTTCATTTCCAGGAGCAGGGCCTGAACACCCGGTGCCCTCGCCTTCCCCTCGGAGGGAGAGCAAAGTTAAAGGGGTAAAAAGAAAACCGAAGCAGGAACGGCACACAACTCACCCCTCCGTCCGATCCTCCCAGGGACAGCCCCTTCTCAGCTATGCTGTGGGGAAGACCGTCTTAAATCAGAATTCAGTTAACAGCATCATCTATGATACATCTAGACACATATCAACCAGCACAACTAGCACAACGTTAACAGACTGCTTAATGTTGATGACAAAAATCACATTTGGACCAAAGGACTTGACTTTCAAGCTAAGTGAGTAAATGTTAATATTTTGTCACCATCTCCTTAACCACGTATGACATAGCTTGGGGACAAGTGGGCTTAGTTTCCATCTTTAGCTCAGAGACCTGGTGCTGAGTTGAATGGGTTCCTCTGGACTGGAAGGTCCCTCTCCTGTCATCACAGGCTGCGGGGGCAGCCTTTGTAATCACCAGCTCAGGAGGCAGTGGCCACATGGTGGCCTGTGCTGGAGCTCACAGGACCACCCACGTCACCAAAGATGCAGGGGCTTCTGGTGCCTTTGACAGATGCTTCATGGCCGCCCGGGAAACTGACTGGGGGCTGGATCCATCCCTCACACCAGGGACCCTCCCCACCCAACCAGCCTCTACAATGTTATCTAGAAACAGGAGGAACATCTCCCCTCAAGACACAGCTCGGCATGCGGACCAGACGCTGCTCCACTGGGCACATGCTTGGGTCTGAACTCCTTGTTGGAAAATCAGAGCTTCAAGATCTTGTTTTTAAAAGACAATAAGGAAGAATCCAGTGCCAACTACTTCTGAGTAAGACTTCCTGCCCTGTCATGAGTCACGGCTAGGAGGCAGGAGGGCTATCCCAACCAGTTTTGGAGAGGAGACGAAAATAGTCTAGTGACCGCCTGGGGCTGCTGGGTGAACACACTGTCTTTACACAGGCACCTGCTGGGCCCCTCAATGGCTGACGGGACAGCATCCCCTCAACCTCCCCACTGGGCCAGAACTGCTGCCTCTGGAGAGGGCCCAGGCCTCTGGAAGGTTCCGTCAGCAACCACATCACTGATGACAACAGCCTTTCCTCCTGGAAATCAGAAAAGCCCCTCTTTGCCTTGGAAGTGCAAAGGGGAATTGTTAGGGAATTCTAATGAATTTCTTTAAATCATCCTTTTAGTAGTAATTCCCTGTGCTTCACCCACAGCCCCACTCTCCTGCTCGTTCAGGACAGAAACTCAGAGACACGTGTACCTGCGAATCCTCCGGGCTTCGTCCCTGGTGATGATGGCATCGCTGACGCCCCGGCCACACTTCCTCGGGGAGCAGCCTGGAGAGAGTTGAGCTGGGATGAGACGCCAACCCCGCTGAACCCCGACTAAAGAGCTGCCCGCTGCTGTCAAGGACTCACCTGTGGGCGGCCCTCTCCAGGGACAACGGAATTTTGTGGGATGGGGCCTTGCCTTCCATGGGATTAGGGGGGCAGGTTTGGCAAATAAAATATAGGCCACTCGGTCAGATGTGAATTTCAGAGAAGCAACGGTGACTTTCCAGTACAAGCAGAGCCCCTGCAGCGCACACATCTCACCGGAAGGGGGTAGGTCCTGGCAGCGCCACACCAGGTGGGTCACTCCTGAAGCAGCTGACACTCTACCCACCCTTGAGAAAACAGCCCAGAGGCGGCATCCACGGTATTCTAGAACCATCACTGACCACAGATCCAGACCCATTGGCTAGTGCCTCCTGGATGACCAAAGCTGTGCTTGCAACTGTAGTCACTGTCCTTCTGCAGGGCCTGGCAAAGCTGCCCCAAGGTGGTCACCACACACTCTACCCTGCTTCCTCCTGCCTCTGCACCCAGGACTGAGCTGCTTAGAGGGAGGAGGATGGGGGAGCTTGGATGGGGCCAGGGTCGGGGTGAAAGTGGCCAGGGTCGGGAGCACAGGGCCAGGGTGGACACGGCCAGGGTCAGGGTGGACAGGACCAGGGTTAAAGTGGCCAGGGTTGCCACTGGGTTGGGGTGGACAAGGCCAGGGTCAGGGTGGAAAGGGCCAGGGTCAGGTAGATGGGGCCAGGATGAGGCAGAGCACCAGAGATGGACAAGCTTAGCAAGCCCCTGGTATCCTGGCGCCAAGGGCAGGCTGGCTGCCTTGCACTGGGTGGGCCCTAGGATATGTCCTGGCCGATGAGACACTCTCATGGCCACCCCCTGGCCTTGGGACACTCTCAGGACACACTGGGCTGGCTGACCTTTAGCTTTCATCCTCCTTTCTCTCTTCCTGCCTGGAACATGCCTGGAGGTGGAGCGATTGTCCTGGGACCATGTGAGCCACATGCTGAGTGGCAGAGATGGGGCGCTCGGCCTGGGGCGCTTACAGGGAGCCAGGCTGGCCTGGGGTGCCTTTTTCTGGGTCTCATCATGTGGGAAAAATAAACTTCTACGTGGGGGTCATTAGGGGAGGGGTGCCTCAGTTCCACAGAGCTAAATACAATATATTAATATAGGTGTTTTTATTAAGACATAAAAATGCTTTTTATAAAAGTTGAAGGTAAAAGCAAAAACAACGATAACCAAAAGACAGCTTGGGGAGCGACATCATGTCAACAAATACATTTTAACACAAAAGAATTGTGAGAGGGGAAAAGATTGATAACAGGAACAGTTTCACCAGGAAGATGCAGGGGCAACAAAAGCACCAAGTGACATCGCCTCAAACACCTCTGGCGGCGAAGCGGCCACCAGACCCAGAGTCTCAGTGGGGACCCTGCCTCGCGGTTCCCAGTAACTGGGGACGGCGAGACAGAAGTTCAAGAAGACAATCCAGCAGCGACACAATAGGCTCAACGTGAATGAGCATCAAAAGCATAATTTGGTGAGAAAGTGAGTTGTGAGTGGCTGACAATGTCAGTGCACATACACGAGTGCACACGCTGCAAACACGCACACACACCACCCAGACACACAGGCCCAGGGCAGGCGGAGCCCCTGTCAGCTACAGGAGGAGAGAGGGGCGAGGGATGGGGAGTCCAGAGGCTTTAATGCACACTCCACCATTTTTTTTTTTTTGGTAAAATATATATAACCCCAAATTTACCATTTTAACCATTTTAAAGTGTACAGTTCAGAGGCGTTAACTATGATCACGTTGTTGTACAACCATCCCCATCATCATCTCCGGAACATTCTCATCTTCCCAACTGAAAACCCATACCCGTCTCCACTAACTCCCCCTCCACCTCATTCCAACAGTTTTTAACGTTGATAAATTATTAAATGGGTAGGAAAAATACGTTCTCAAAAGCTGTGACTTTAGAGTGAAAAAGCTGACCAAGACAGAGAGAGCATGCCCACAACAGAACCTATCCACTTTCCTGACCCCCTGAAGGGAAAGGCAGCCCCCATTCCCTGGGCGCGTCTTTGCCTCCCTTCGTCTAAACCCAGCTTGTGTGCATCACAATGGCGCCCCTTGGTGGAAGGATTTAGCAATATTTTCTTGGTTCAAGTCCAAAGCATTGCTCTGAAGAGAAAAATAAACTGAATTTTGTCTTTAAAACCCAGTCACTCTGGTTAGGTTTTTAAAACTGCTGCCCTCGAGCAGAGGAGTCAGGCGCTGGGATGGGGCACACGACATGGGGGAAGGGCCTCTGGTATCTACGTTCCCTGTTGCAACATCTTCTGCAGTTACAACACCCTAAGACAGAAAATGCCTTTTCTGGGTTCCACTTGCTCATTACTATCATCCCAGTTCTGTTACATCCTTCCAGGCAAACCGCCTCTTCCATCAGATGGCACCCACAGTGTGGGGGACCTCAGTGAAACACTGGCCACGGCCTGGGCAATGAGGCCTGGGCAGTGACCAGTGGGCCTGCCCCTGCACAGGCAGGGCCTGAAACACCCACACTTCCGGGTCCATGTGTGGGCTAACCAACCGGGGGGGGGGGACGGGGGGGCAGCAGCGGGGGGTGAGGAAGGTCACCTGCCCAACGCCACCCCCACACTACTTTCAACCTGATTCCCATCAATTCATTGTAGCAAAAAAAGACGCATTTTGAACACACTGAATTCCATGTTAACATGCTGCTCTTTCCCGGATCACCTCGGCATCATGTACCTTCAAACCTTCGGTGACTGTCATAGTCCTCGGAGCAGGGCACCTCAATGAACCTGCCTGGCAGGACCTCACTTCGATGAGCTAGGACCTCAGTGATGCTGTCATCACCCCCCAGACTGCCCCAGAGCAGGAGCGCAACGAACGTGGTGCAGGCCCCCAGGACGGCAACTCTCAGCCACTTCTTCCACACATCCCGAGGCGCCCGGACACTCTTGGTGCTGAGAACAGAAAACAGCTGTGGTCACCCAAATGCACCTGCATGTGCTGAAAATGCAGACCACAATGACCAGAGACCACAATGACCAGAGACCACACCCACCCTTAGTTATAGCCTTAAACTGTTCCCATGCTGGCTGCTGTCAGAGCTACTCTCAATCAATCCAGAGGCACTCGCCAGCATGGGAGGATGTGGTGGGGAACGTGCCCCTCACCCCATATGACCAGACAGGGCTCACTTGCTCCCAAGGGCAACAAGATGAACTGCCTGTTGGTGTTCCTCCCAGCCTGGCCAGGCCCATGGAGAACCTGTCTGCGAGGTCCTGGCAGAGTCTGTGGCACCGATCACGTTGCCTGCATCCAAAAATGACTGCCACAACCCCATGCATATGGTCCCAGTGCACATGCCTGTGCATGCGTGCGTGCACACACACACACAATGTGAAGTAAGTTAAGCATGAGTCAAGCCCACTTCACTAAAACCACCAGCCAGCCACAAAGAGAATACAAGTACAACAGAAATGATTCAGCAGTAAGACACTTTCTGTACCACCCGGGTTAACTGTGGGATTCACACTGCCTGTGCAGAAGTTGTAGGCGTGTCTGTGTGTGTGTGCACACGTGTGTCTATGTGTGTTTGGGTGGTATATAACCATGCATATGTGTGTCTGTGTACATGCATGTGTGTTTTCACGTGTGTGTAACTGAGTAGCCGTGCACTCTGTTATCTAAGAAAAATGTGAAGGGCTTGAAGCACTGGCAGAAATGAGAAAAGAGATCCAGGCATCCTTTCAGGAGGTGCACCTCATGTCTTCAAGTATATGATTAAAAGCAGATAGCCTGCCTTCTATTTTTCTATGTTTCTCCACACTGCAAATTGCTATATATATAACACACAAATTCCGATTAAATAAATCCCAAGGTGGGCACAGCTCACTCAGACTAGGTTGGGTGAATACATGATCATTTTAAACAGGGAGCATAGGTGCCCAGAACACAAAGACCCCCACCCCCACTCCTAGAACTGCTGTCTAGCCTCCAGCCCACCTGGTCTCCTCTAATTAGACCAGGGTGGACACCTCACTCCGGTGGCCCCATCATTTCTCTTCCCCAATTCCGAATGGGGCAGGGAGACTGCCCGCCCATCTCAGCAGCAGGGGCTGGAACCCCAACTGAAGGTGCAAAGCTGTAGGTGACACCTTCGCCTGGAAGAGCCCGGCTGCTGAGACAGAAAGGGACAGAGAGGAAGGGACAGAGACAAGAGGGGAAAAAACAGCCACCTGGGCCAGATTCGGATGCAACACTCCCCTGGAGGTCTCCTCAAAATAAGCACCCCTGTTCAGGGTAAGCTCGCTCAAGCTGCACCCCTAGAATCTTGCCAAAACAGAAGGGGATTTGGAGCAAGGTCCATGGCCCATGGGGCAAGCACAACGACAAGGTAATTTATCCTGGAATGATTAAAATACACCCCTGGCTCTTAAAGCTTCAGGCAGAATCCCCTCGAAGGCTACGTGATGAGATCACTTTTTCATTCATCAGGCCCCCCTGGTACACATGGGTGAGAGAGGTCAGAAAAGACTCCCGACGGCCTGCCCCGTCCTGGGCCGCCCCCCACCCAGCCCCGACCCTCCTGGCGCGGGCCTCGCGGGATTCTTCAGGCCACGCTCTCCAGACAGACCACACCCCTCTAGAGCCCGATTCGCCCAAGCATACACCACGCCCCTCGAGGCCAGGCCACACCCACACTGCAGGCCCGTCCCGGGAAAGGCCCCGCCCACGCTAGGTCCAGCCTTTCCTGGCCGGGCCACGCCCCCAGCCCCGCCACACCACGCCCCCGCCCCTCCAGACCAGGCCCCTCCCCCTCGACCAGGCCCCGCCCACGCCGCCGTCCGCGCGCTCCCGGAGCTGCCCAGTACCTGCTCGGGCGCCGGCGGTCAGCTGCCCGGTTGCCCTCGGGCGCCTTGGGAGCGCCCCTCCTCTGAGGTGCCATTGTCCAGGCCGCCGCGGAGCCGGGTCGAACGCGGGATCCGCCGCGAGCCCGGGACGAGCGCCGCGAGAGTTAGCGCGAGACCAGCGCGGCCGGGGACGCGGAGCGACGCGTTCCGCCGTCGACCTCCGGTCTGGTGGCCAGGCCTGAGCAATCGGAGGCCGAGCGCCGAGCGGGACGGAACGGGGACCTGAGGGCGTCCGCGGCGCACCCGCTGTTGCCTGCCCCCTCCTCCTCCCCTGCCCTCCGCGGAACCCGACGAGTCTCCAAGTCTTCGTCTGAAGTGTGTCCTCGCCCAACCGTGCGTGCTCTCCCGGCGTCTCCAAGCCCACCTCCCGGGGGTGTCCTCCTCCCGGGGCTCTCCAAGCCCTTTCCCCGCCCGGGGTCTCCAAGCCCTCCTCCCAGGGACTCCGCACCCTCTTCTGTGGGGTTTCCATGCCCCTCTCCCCCGGCCCATGCTACACTGGAGGGCACTGGGTCCAGTTGGTGCTCAGTACACATGTATCCGTTAGGCCCTGCTGCTTTGTTTACAACATTCAATTTCCCTAGAGAACCTTACGTCCAGTGGGCAAGAAGTAAGATCTTAACCAACGCTGTGGAGATACCTGATTCTGAAAGAGTGGAATTAGCAGTGAGGTGCATTCATGAGGATTAAGTCTGAAGAAGGTGAGTAATTTACTGATACAGGGGGAAAAGAAAACCTACTTAGACTCATTGAACAAGAAAAGAAATCTGCCCAACAGTCCCGAAACTGGGGAAATCGGATGCCATTTCCTGGTAACTTACCTGGAAGCCCGAGGAACTGGGACAATTGCAGACCTGCCAGGTTGTCTGGTAACAATGACAGTTGACCCAAGTCTTTGAAATAATCACGTTTCTATAGACTTCATGCAGGAGGGAATCAAAGCAAGGAACTACAGACTCACAAGATGGATTACTGAATTCTTCCTCTCCTTTTCCTTTAGATTTTGCAGCAACTTACATTGGTAAACAACTCTGAATGTGTCTGATGCAGGTAAGATGTTTGTGTTCATTCCTGCCCTAGGACTACAAGAATAATTGGAGAATTTCTCTCAGAACACGAGGAGGCACACACAGGACCAATGCAGACTTCTCAGCTCAAAATTTTTTCTTTTGGGACTTCCCTGGTGGTCCAGTGGTTAAGACTCTGCACTTCCAATGCATGGGGCGCAGGTTCGATCCTTGGTCGGGGAACTAAGGTCCCACATGCCGCACGGCGCAGCCAGGAAAATATTTAAAAAAAAAATTTTTTTTTCTTTTAATTCTATTCCCAGGAAAATAGATTTGGGTTTTTTTTTGGGGGGGGGGTTTAAATGTAAAACAATTCAACTTTAAAACATTGCAGTTTTTCAGAATGCTTTGTCTTAAACTCATCCACTTATCAGTGGTAATTTACGTAATTGCTTTAAGAACTTTGTCATTGAGACTGTCTTGAATATAGTTTATTCTTAAAAAAATCAAACTGATTGGTTTCTGTATGCATTATGTTATTTCCTCTGCTATATTATGGATTCCTTAAGGTCAGGGATTTATGAATCCTTGCACAGAATGAGTAGTTTGAATTACTGAGCTGAATATATGACCAATGTACAAAGATTTTCTTTCATTTTTCAATCTAATCCTTTGTGTTTTATGATAGAAGAAATAAGATTTCACTGTTTCCCAGCTGCTTCAGTATCATCCAGATACTTTCTCTAGTTTAACATAAACTAGCCAACACTGATAAACTGTGGCTTACTTGTTTTTTGAATTATCAATGGCCTGTTTTAAATCATAGATAGTTTTCTCTGACCTAGAATAAATTTTTAGAGCTTCTTCCTCTGTACAACCAAGCTGACTCGAACTCTAGAAACATAATTGTTTTTAACGCTATTCAAAGTAGAATAAAATTGAGGATAAATTTCTACAAAAACATCATATTGTGGGGCCTGAAAAGTGTTTGAGATATTTGCCTGTTTTCACTGGCATAGTATACATAGGATAAGAGGGTCTTTAAAACAAGAAATTATTTTGCAGTCATTTGTGTTATTACAGATTATAGCCATCTTATAAGGAAACAGTGCTGTTCTATTTTAGGGACAAATCACAACTAAATGGCAAGGGTCCCTATGTTTGAACATGGAGACAGACATCCTTTTTTTTTTGATTTGGCTGCTCTGCGTGGCATGTGGAATCTTAGTTCCCCGGCCAGGGATCAAACCCATGCCCCTTGTAGTGGAAGCATGGAGTCTTATTTATTTAGTTAGTTAGTTAGTTAGTTAGTTATTTTGGCTGCGTTGGGTCTTCGTTGCCGTGCACGGGCTTTCCTTCTAGTTGTGGCGAGCAGGGGCTACTCTTTGTTGCAGTGCGCGGGGTTCTCATTGTGGTGGCTTCTCTTGTTGTGGAGCACAGGCTCTAGGTGCACGGGCTTCAGTAGTTGTGGCACACAGGCTCAGTAGTTGTGGCCCGTGGGCTCTAGAGCGCAGGCTCAATAGTTGGGACGCACGGGCTTAGTTGCTCCGTGGCATGTGGAATCTTCCCGGACCAGGGCTCGAACCCGCGTCCCCTGCATTGGCAGGTGGATTCTTAACCACTGCGCCACCAGGGAAGTCTGAAGCATGGAGTCTTAACCACTGGACTGCCAGGAGAGTCCCAAGACAGACATCTTGATTCGATTTCATGTCGGTGAAATGAGTTCCCTCCCAGTTCGTGTCAGAATTGAAACAGACATTGGAAGGACCAGGCCAGTTGAGCCTCTGGAGTCTATAACCCTGAATTTCTCCACTAGGAAGAAGTGTCCAGACAAGAGGTTTTTTTGTCACATGATTTCACAAAAAATAGTACGATGTCGGGTTGCTCACCATTTAAGATGCGACTAGTTCATCTGGACCTGAAAGGAGCCCCACCGAGGGTCTGCTACCTCTCAGAGGTGAGAGCTCCCTTTCTCCTCTAGAGAATCACTTTGCCTTGGGTTTGGTTATGAAGTTGTGAACAATCGATGTTCTGTAGACATGTGCTTGGAACACAACTGTGGGTTCTGTGTTGGGGCACGGTGGTGGCAACAGCATAGATTTTGAATTTCCCCCAAATCCCCTCACAAAGCAGACAGCAACCAGGATAGCAAAAGGAAAAACAGAAAGGACAAAAGACACACACAACCTCTTCATTGTGAGCTGAATCGTGTTTCCCAAAAAGATATGTTTAAATCCTAACCCGTCAGACCTTGCAATGTGACTCGATTTAAAGACACGGTCTTTGCAGATGTCGTTGACATAAGATGAAGTCATATGGAGATAGGGTGAGCCCTAATCCAATAAGTGGTGGCTTTATAAGGAGAGGAGAATTTAAACACAGAGACATACACAGAGGGAAGATGATCTGAGGACACAGGGAAGGTACCACATGAGGACAGAGGCAGAGATTAGAATCGATGCGTCCACAAGCCCAGGAGGACCAAGGGTGCTGGAAACTCCCAGAAGCTGGAAGAGGCAGGAAGGATTCCCCTTACAGCCTCAGAGGGGGAGCATGGCCCTGCTGACACCCTAGATTTGGGACTTCTGCCTCCAGAACTGTGAGAGAATAAATTCTGACTGTTTCAAGCCACCCAGTTTGTGGTGACTTCTTATGGCAGCCACAGAAAACGTATGTACTCTAAATCAAAAGTAGGCATCAGGGTATCCCCGTGAATTCCAAAATGCAAGGGGTGGGGCCAAACCACCTATAGCACAACACCCACGTGGGGTTAGCAGCCAGGCAGGGGGTGGTAGAGGAAAGAGAAAAGAGAATTCAGACGATGTCAAGACCAGAGGACCCAGAAAAGAGCCCAGCTAGTAAAGATCTGTCAGAAACTGGGCGAGTTATCCCTGGCTCCAGGTTGAGGGTGAGTGCCCAAGGCCTCAAAGCACTCCAGAATACCTTCCAGAACCTTCTTCCAGAAGGACAGAGCCCACACTAAGGACACAGTGTTGGGGGAAAAATCCACATTGAGCTGGGCAGGAACATTGAGGGTGAAGTGGAGAGAAGTTTCAAATACTGGGGGGACGGGATCCAGAGGGAGTGGAGACCACGTGCTGTGGCAGTAGCTGCACAAAGTCTATAACCGCTAATCCTTTATGTAACAGCAGCAGAGGGAGCCCTGGGCTGGCCCAGCTCCATCCCAAACAGAAGAACCTGCTCTCAAAAACACAAGAAAACACATCTCAGTTAAAAATGAGCCACAGAAAAGGAGTGTAGTTGTGCCACACAAAGACACTAAGAAAAAAAAGGACGTTGATCTGAGTAACAGTGAAGGTGCACCAGGAACGTGTGACCACAAAGCAGATGACATAGTTCCGCAGTATTTCAGAAAGAGAGCAGAGATACTAGGAAAGTGATACAGTTATGGAAGAACAGTGTAAGTCAGAAATAGAAAAGCCCAGAAATGTGACAGCCAGACAGAATGAGGTTGTGAAAAGATTGCCTCCAGACTCGGGAATGAATTAGAAAGAAAAAGAAAAAAAAAAGTCAGAAACGGAGACCAAACTAGGAAAAGAACAAAAGTGAATAGACGCCATGGGAAACAGTATCGGGAAATAAATGGCAGAGAAGAAAAAGCCAAGTGTAAAGAGAAAAAAGCATGGTGACAAATGGATAGATGTGGAAGACAGGCAAAGAAGATCCAGCTTATGTGTAGCTGGAGCCCCCATTTCGTTACCTGCTGCTGCTGACAGAGTCAGAGGTTTAGACAACAATTTCTTATTCCTCCTGTTTCCACAAGTTGGCTGGGTGGCACCCTTAGGCTGAGCTTAGCAGCCCCTTAGCCACCAACAGCACCAAGGATCCCTACCACCCCCAATAGAAGTGCCAAAGAGGCCACCCAGTGGTCAGATGGCCAAAAGGCTACAAGGGAAACCAGGAGCAAAAACGCTGAGGAAAACACGAAAATGCCATAACCATCATGTTCCATTTGTGTAAGTGACTGACCTGGGTTAGTTTACTCCTTTCCACAATCTGCCTCTTCTTGTAATTTGCAGTCAATTATTGATTACCCGTTTTACAATTATCCCAGCTAATTCTTAGTCCCAAGCTGATTTCCTCTTTCCATCCAGCATGCTTCAGAACATCCCCATATTCTTGGGGAAAGAAAACTTCTGACAGCAACATCAACAAGAATGCTACAAATCACATAAAACTCACAGTGGCCCTTGTCTGGAGGTGGGTTACTATTCTGAGTTTCTGCAGGAGCCCCCTCCCTTAACACCCACCCCTGGCCGTGATGCCAGGCTAGAAGAAAATCTCAGTCCTGTGTACAGTAGACACAATCCTAAAAGTACTGGAGAATAGGGATCCATGTTCTTTGAGATAAAGGTAGAGAAAGAAGTCGGGCAGAACCAGGGGAGGGACCCCATGAGCACAGCGGGACAGCCTCTTTCCTCCTTCATCTCCCTCCTCTAGGCTCCTTCCAGGTGCTCCAGTAACCCTCCAGAGCCCTGTAGGCTCCCCTTACCCCAGCACCCCCCAGTTCCGCCCCCTTGTATCAGATGAACACATCACTACATTAGAATTTGATTTGGCGTCACACGGAGTACGTGGGAAAATACAAAGATCAACTACAATCCGTGTCCATCAGCTGGAAGAATGAGTCCATGAGCTACACATGTGTCACTTTCTGTTCAAATAGTCATTTCTTCATCACATCCCCCTCTCCCCCAGATTTTCCCCCTGTTCCGTGCCCTGGGTGCCAACGGCCTCCTCATCGAGTATGAAGACATGTTTCCCTATGAGGGCCACCTGAGGCTGCTGAGGGCCAAGCACGCATACAGGTACCCGAGCCGCCAAGCAAGGCGATGCCTCTGCAGAGAAAATGGGGTGTGTGGGGTGGCAACCTGGAAGGGAGTGGAGGGCAGGCGAGAATTGAACGACAGCAGGACAGTCCTCTTCTGTCTTGTTAAATACATGTCTTTAGTCATAAAAATAAAGCATGTTCACCGAAGAGAATTTAGAAACATTTAAAAGAAAATAAGCATCAGCTATGATCCCCCACAAGGAAGCGCTGTGATCTGTTTCAGTCTTGTCTGGGTGTGAAGTGCGTGGAGGACACTTTGACAGGTGTCCATGCAGGGGAGGGAGGGCTGCTCTTTAAGGCGGGATCTTCACCAGGGAAGTGAGGATTAAAGGGGAGAGAATCAGAATCAGTGAAGTCGGATAGTGTGGTCATGGGTGCACCCCACTTGGCTTTAAAATTATGGGTATCCATGTAAATCGGTAATAAATAGCCCAAAAGAAAATGGGCAAAGAACATTCTGATCCCCCAAAAAGAAAGAAAAATAGCCAATAAGTATATGATAGTAATAAAATAACAGTGAAATGCCATTTTGGCTACCAAATTGGTGACGCTTTTAAAAAAATGCTAATGCTCTGTGTCCACGGGGGTGAGCAGGAGCAAGCCTCCCACTGGTGGGCTGTGAAGCAGCCCAGCCGCTCTGGAGGGCAGCTTGGCTCCATGTGGTAGAACTCCCAGCACGTACGTGTGGGCAGGAAACAGGAAAGGCATGAACCAGAGCATGGCGGAGGTATTCGTGTTTATTCCTACAATGAACACGTTTTGTTCCTTTGTTTTTGAAAGTGAAAAAGGTGCCAGGGTTCCGGTGAAGCTTGAAAAAGGTATATTTAAAGACAGAACTTTATATAATCAATTCATCTATAGAACTGGTTAACTTTAGAGATGGTTCAAACACATACAGAAGTTGAGATAAATTCACAAATGACAACTCATGGTGGAGCACGCAGTGGGCCTTTCCAGGTTGGCATCCTCAGTGGCCTCAGCAACGAAATGCTGGCCTGAAGGGACACTCCCACCTGAATCTTGAAACTCTTCGTTTTTCTTTCCTCTATTAAAGGGATCACCAGCCTTTTGTACAAAGGGCCAGACAGTAGATATTTTAGGTTGTGCAGCCCATCTGATCTTTGTTCCAACTATTAGTGGGGCAAAAGCAGCCACAGGTGATAATAATGAGTGGGCGTGGCTGTGTTCCAATAAAACCCTATTTGTGGACACTGAAGGATGAATTCCATACGATTTTCACATGTCACAAAATATTCTTGAGTTTTCTCAACAATTTTAAAACATAGAAACCATTCTTAGGTCACAGGCTGTACAGAAACAGGTGGTGTGTTTGTTCTCAGGCCCGTCTTTCCACCTTTGCTCTAAAATATGATTGCTTGTGTGGCCTAGTTTCTTGTAAAATGGCTTTAGCCTCTTGTCGAGTTTGGGTCAGAATAGCTGGTACTATTCTCACAAGAAGTAAACTGTTACTTGACATAACAGCATCGTTTTCCTAAACTCTAGCGTGGGAGTCTTCTCTGAAAACTTAATATCCGTTGGGCTTTTCAGAGTTAGCAACCCTGCTAGTTTCCGTGGTAGACTCCCCCAGGAACCTGACGAGGGGGGTTGGGGGGAGCCTGAATGGAAGGCTGTGTGAACCTCTCTGGGTGGTCTTGGTCTCTCTAGCCCCTCCGAAATCAAAGAGATCCTGCATCTGGCCACACTGAATGAGCTGGAGGTCATTCCCTTGGTGCAGACATTTGGGCACATGGAGGTAAGTGGGAGGAAGGAAAGTTACCTGGTACCCAGGTGTGGGGTTCAGGGGTGCGCGGATGGGGCCAGACACAGGCAGGGAGCAGCTCAGCACTGTACAGAGAAGCTCTGTGAACGGCTGAGGAGCTCGGAGCTCTAGGTGGGAGCACCCTCTGTCCAAGGAGGGGAGGGGAAGAGCTGGATGGGGGGCCTGATTCCCACAGAGCCCTGCAGACTGGGTTGTTTTCCTTTTTAACGTATATTCATCAAAGTATTATTGTGCAAGGTGAAATACAACATTAAGAAAATGTGCTTTCTAGAACTTCCCTCGTGGTCCAGTGGGTAGGACTCCACACTCCCGATGCAGGGAGGCCTGGTTCGATTGTGCTGCCAATGCGGGGGGCCCGGGGTTTGATCCCTGGTCGGGGAACTAGATCCCACATGCATGCTGCGCCTAAGAAGTCCGCATGCCACAACTAAAAACAGATCCTGCATGCCATAACTAAAGATCCTGCATGCCGCAGCTAAGGATCCCACGTGCCGCCACTAAGACCTGGCACAGCCAAAATAATAAATAAATATTTTTTAAAAAATACTTTATTAAAAAAAAAGAAAACGTGCTTTCTGTGTTCTCCTTTTTCACTTAATGTTGAAAGTATTCTCCCAAGCTCCTATGTGATCTTCAAAAATACTTTTCACGTCTGCCTCAGAAAGGGGAAGCAAATTAAACATAATACTGATTTAATGGCTCTCAGGCTCCGTTTAGATCTATCAGCAGTCCTTCCCCCACATCTTCACTTTCACTTCCAGTGATTGCCCTTTTCTTCCTGTTCAGGGATTCTCTCCCACCATCTGCCCTCCAGCTCTCCTGGTGGACTCTCCCTGCTGTGCTTTCTGGGCTCTGGTCCTGACACACTCGTTACCCACAACCCCCTCCTCCTAAACCCTATGGCCTCCTGGTCCCCGGCTCTGGCTGTGCCCGACATCTTCTCCGTGTGCTGTCCTGTAGCTGCACTGGACTTGACTGTCCCCATGGCACCTCTCGAGGGCCCTCTACTCACTTCACACTCCTTCTCTGGATAAAGCCATTTCCCCTCCTGCTTCCCTTTCCTGTCCTCAGTGACTCCCAGGACCCCCGTCTCTCGTGCAGACCCTGGGTTCTAGTCTACAGTTGTCTGCTTGGCGTCTCTGTTGTGAGGCCTCTTCCAGCCTCAGGGAGGGGCTGTACCATCCCCAACCCCCCACTCCAGCTGCATTTCCCGTCTACTGTCAGGTCCTACCCTTTGCTCCTCTGCCTCCTGAGTTAGCATTCCCTCCGTCCCACTGTCACCATCCTTGTCTAAGCTACTGCTGGACCGGCTGTAAAGTCCTCCAGTGGGTCTCCCAGCATCACTCCGCCCATCCCCACCCCGCGCCCTGCTCCCCACCACAGCTGGTCTGAGCGCCTCAAGTACAGCTCCATCGTACCACGCCCTCCTTCTCCTTAAGTGGCCTTGCTCTGCTCTTACGGTGGATTCGTCTCCTGGGGCTACCATAGCAAAGGACCACAAACCAGGCGGCTTAAACTACAGACATTTGTTCTCACTGTCTGGAGGACAGCGGTCCGAAGTCAAGTGTCAGCAGGGTTGGCGAAGACTCTACGTCTGGTCACTTGCATCAGAATACCCTCTTCAGCAGTGAAGCACAGTTCAAGGATTTTGCTCATTTCACTTTCTGAACTGTTGAGTTTTTAAAATTCTTTGTGTATTCTGGACAAAGTCTTTTGTTAGATACGTGATTTACAAACATTTTCTCCCAATCTGCAGTTTGTCCTTTCATTCTCTTAACAATGTATTTCAAAGAGCAAAAGTCTTTAACTTTGGTGAAGTCCAGTTTATCAGTTTTTCTCTTTGATGCATCATGCTTTTGATGTCATTTCTAAGAACTCTGCCAGTCACCAGGTGATGAAGATTTTTCCTGTTTTCCTCTGAAGTCTTACACTTGAACATTTTCCGTTTAGACTTATGATCGATTTGGGGTTAGTTTTTGTGTGAGGTGTGAGGTGGAGGTTCATTTTTCTTGCATGTAGTATGGCACTCCCTGACCAATGGTGCCAACACCATTTGTCAAAAAGACTGCTTTCTTTGAAATTTGGTATTGCCTTTGCACCTTTGTCAAAAATCAATTGACCACATTTATGAGAATCTATTTCTAGACCCTATTCTGTTCCATTGATCCATGTGTTATCCCTTTGTCTATACCACATTATCTTGATTGTTATAGCTTTATTGTAAGTCTTAAAATCAGGTAGTGAGATTCCTCCAACTTTATTCTTTTTCAGAATTATTCTAGCTATTCTAGTTCCTTTGCCTCTTCATATGTATTTTAGATTCAGTTTCCCTATGTATCTACTGGAAACCTTGCTGGGATTTTGATTGGGATTGTGTTAAATCTGTAAATCAGTTTTGGCAGAAAATTACCTCTTCACTGTGTTGAGATTTCCAAACCAGAACGTGGTATGTCAGCCATTAATTGTGTTATTCCCCTAAATGTGCCTTTTAGGTTATGATGTGTCCAGGTTTGGGTTTCTTTGCCTTTATCTTCCTTGGAGTTTGATGAGCTTCTTCACTTTTGTGAAGTTTGGGGCCATTTCTTCATGTTTTTTTCTGTCCCCTTCTCTTCTTTTGGGACTCCTTTGCTCATGCGTTGGTAGCTCGATGTTGCCCTATGGTCTCTGAGGCTCTGTTCATTTTCTTGCACCTTTCCTCGGTTACTCAGCTTGAATTTCTGTTGATCTTTTGTTCCAATCACTGACTCTCTCTTCTGACATTTCAGATCTGCTGCTGGGCCCATTGAATGTTTTTTTTTTTTTTCCCACACTGCGTGGCTTGCAAGATCTTAGTTCCTTGACCGTATATTCATCAAAGTATTATTGTGCAAGGTGAAATACAACATTAAGAAAATGTGCTTTCTAGCACATTGAACCTGGGCCCTCAGCAGTGAAAGTGCAGAGTCCTAACCCTGAACAACCAGGGAATTCCCCCTGAATGGATTTTTAATTTCCCTTATTGTAAATAGTTTCCTTTAATTCTTTTTTTTTTTTAAATTTTTAAAAAATTAATTCATTTATTTTGGCGTGTTGGGTCTTTGTTGCTGCACGCAGGCTTTCTCTAGTTGTGGTGAGCGGGGGCTGCTCTTCATTGCGGTGTGGGGGCTTCTCATTGCAGTGCCTTCTCGTTGCAGAGCATGGGCTCTAGAGCACAGGCTCGGTAGTTGTGGTGCATGGGCTTAGTTGCTCTGTGGCATGTGGGATCTTCCCGGACCAGGGATCGAACCCGTGTCCCCTGCATTGGCAGGCGGATTCTTAACCACAGCACTACCAGGGAAGCCCCTCCTTTAATTCTTGGAATATATTCATAATAGTTTCTTTGAAATAATTGTCTGATAAATCCAACATCTAGGCCCACTCAGCATCAGTTTCCATAGAATTGTTTTTTCTTTGAGTCTGGGTCCCACTTTCCAGTTATTTGCATGTCTCAATTTTTGGTTGAAAACTGGACATTTCAGATCATATGTTATAGCAAGTCTGACTTTTCCCCCCATGGGTAGTTGTAAGTTGCCTGGATTTAATGTCTCCCCGGCTGTGTGTGGCCACGGATGCCTCTGTTTTTGTATTCTTGTTTTCGGTTTTTGCCCTAGGGGTCACTCTTCGGTCTTCACAGCTGATGATTCCGCAGGGCTTGGGTGGTGGTTGTGCCCGAGCCCATAGGCCCCACCTTGTGGCACAGGGGTTGGGAGGCCACACTCAGGGTTCAGGCAGTTCTCAGTCTGCCGCGGCTTCTGCTTTCCACCCAGCCTGCTCGGGCCCCCAGGTGGGTGTGGCCCCAGCCAGCCGGTGCGTACGGAGAACATGTGTCACCTCTGTAGCCCTGTGGGGACCGCAGAATTCAGAACAGTTTGCCACTTTTACTGACAGGTCCCCAAAGGCCAGGTTTACCCACAGCCAGCCATTGTGGGGGGTGGGAGCACCTAGGCAGAAGCTGCAGAATCTGTTTTTACCCAGTTATGGCAACCTTTCATGAACACGCATTTCCCAATTTGTTGTTCACCTTTGGTTGGTTTCTGGAGCCCCAAAAGGTCGTTTTGGACAAATCATTCCTCTTTGTACTTGTTTTGGGGAGAGGATTTGCCAGCCTCTTCACTTGAGCAAGAAGTCCACCCGTGTGTAATTCTGTTGTGAAGGGAAGCTACCTTTTCCATTTTCTCATTCAGCCCAGTTAGAGTTGGAAGGGAGAAGGACTGTTGACCAAGCAGCCAGGTTACTCAGAGACCCGCCCACTTGGCACCCTGGCTCTGGTCCGCAGTGCAGCCCCGCCAGCCCCTCCGGGGACTCTAATAGACATGAGGCCATCAGGACGCAGAGGCAGGAGCCGGACTTCGGGGAGCTCGGGGACAAGCTCCTCCCCAGGGTCACCAGCTTTCCTGTTGTCTCCCCACAGTTTGTGCTGAAGCACGAGGCTCTCGCTCACCTCCGGGAAGTGGCACTTTTCCCCAACACCCTGAATCCCCACAAGGCGGAGTCCCTGGCACTGGTTGGAGCCATGATTGACCAGGTGATGGCGCTGCACCCGGGCGCCCGGTGGCTCCACATCGGCTGTGACGAGGTGGGTGCCTTGCCTTGCCAGCAGGCGGCTCCCCCAGCTCTGCAGCAGCCCCTTTTCTTCACCTCACGGTCACCTTCTCCCACCTCGTGGGTTCTTCTCTTAAATAGAAAAGTAGTTCCGAGGATAAAGAAGTGCTGGCCGAGGAGATGTCCCCAGTGAGGGCCTTGGTCCCAGCTGATGGGTGATCTCGTGCCGGCAAACCTGCCAAGCCAAGCAGGGTGCAATGGGGTGCAGGCACCCACGGGACAGCAGCAGAGCAGCCCCTGGTTACGGCACATTCATGTCCTCGGGGTCAGTGTGGCCATGAGTTTGAGCCGGTTACTTTCCTCCAATTGAAGAAGTACAGTTTTGGACTGTGGGAGAAAGGAAATTACCACTTTAGGGCCGTGGAGCACTGGCTGGAAAGGTGGTTCCCGGGGGTGCCCTCCTTGTCCTTGAGAAACACAGTGGCCAGGAAGATACCAAGCCACCGAGCACAGTGACCCAAAGGCCTCTGCTCGTCTGAGCTTAGGCATCTGAGCTGGGACGGTGGTTTGTAGACATTTTACCCCAGAGCTTGATCCTTTTATGCAAAAAAAAAATCTCTTTTTTGTAGTAAAATACACATAACATAAAATTTACCACTGTAACCACTTTAAAGTGAATGATCCAGTAACTTTTAAGCCATTCTCAGTGTTGTGCAGCCCTCCCCCCGGCTACTGCAGGACCTTTCATCTCCCTGCCCCCCGTCCTCCGCCCCTGCATCCATCAGTCTCCTTTCCATTTCTGCGTTGCCCCCCCAGCACCCCATAAATGGAGTCCTGCCCCGTGCGTGGGCTTTTCTCACTGGGCACCTTCTCCAGCGTGGCTGAGTGATGTTCCAGCATGTGGACGGGCCATGCTCTGTTTATCCATCTTGTGTTATTGGACATCTGGTTATTTCCACCTTCTGGCTGCTGTGGGGCTCCAGACTCAAGACTCCCTTGCCCAGCCTCAAGGGAGTCTTGAGTCGAGGTTCGGGTCTCGGTGCAGAAGGAAAGGGCACCCTTCACTGTCTCCTCCCCGTGGGCAGCTGCCCCAGGAGTCCCCCAGCGTGAACCCGCGGGTGAGGATGGGTGGTCCTGGGGCAAACCCACCTGTGTCTCATCCCAGGTCTACTACCTCGGAGAGGGTGAGGACTCAAGACAGTGGCTGCAGCAGGAGCCCAACACCAGAGCAGAGCTGTGTCTGTCCTACATGGAGGCGGTGGCCAGCCATGTGCAGGCTCGGCACCCGACCACGACGCCCCTGGTGTGGGACGACATGCTGCGGGACATCCCCGAGGACCAGCTCTCAGGTCGGCCAGGCATGGCCCTGGGGGGCCGGCCACGCTCCGCAGGGGGCTTCCTGGTGCCATGAGGGGAGGAAGCCGAGCTACTCTGAGCCCCCGACTGTCAAGGAGAGACCGTGTAGTAGATCCGTACCAAAGCTAACTCTAGACCGTCCTGTTAGGACCGTTTCTCACATGAAAATGCCATTCCCCTAAAAGGCCTCCTGGAGTCTTTCCAGGAGTACTGTTGTGAGAGATCTGACCCAGAGAGCAGCACGAGGCCCCGAGGGGCGCTGGCCATAAAAAGCTGGGGGTGCAGGGGGGCAAGGGCCCCTGGTGGCACTTGAGAGCTTCCAGTGCTTCTAGGGGCCTCAGCCCCACACACCTGCACAGCCAGCCCTGCAGGGGCCTCTACTGAGGTTCACACTGGCTGGTGGAGGGAAGCAGTGGCCCCCCAGCCCTCCGGGGCCCAGCCTGCCTGAGGCTCTGGGGTGAGACAGGGAGGTCGTGGCCCATGCTTCCGCAAGGCCCACCCAGGTGTCCTTGCTGCAGCCTCTACCACATGTGGCCACTTGGGTTTTAATTAATTATAATTAAGTCCACTTAGCGGTATGTCCCTGTTGCACCTGGGCCGGCCCCGCGTGCAGACAGTGTGTCCCCCTTGAGGGAGCTCTGGGACCGCTGGCCTGGGACTCACCCCTGGCAGCTCCAGCAGTGTCCAGTCACTTCCAAAGCCAGCTGGCCTTGTGGCTGCGGCATTTACAGCCCAAATCATAGCATAGTATTGAGTCTGTACTTAAATCCATTTTAACGCAATAAGGGAGAGTTAGAAGGACGCACCCTCACAGCCTCTCTCCACCCCCAGCATCGAGGGTGCCGCAGCTGGTGGAGCCTGTGCTCTGGGACTACGGGGCCGACCTGGACGTCCACAGCAAGGGTCAGTACCAGAGCAGAGCCCGGTGGTCCTGGGCTCCTCCCAGTTTTCCACCTGGACAAGTGTGTGTTTCGGGCTTCCCGGCTGCACCTCCTCAGGGTCTGCCACTCACACCTCTCACTTGCTCACCCAGCGCTCCTCATGGAGAAGTACCGGAAGAGCGGCTTCTCCTGGCTCTGGGCCGCCAGTGCCTTCAAGGGAGCCACGGGGGCAAGCCAGGCCCTGACCCCCATCGAGCACCACCTCAGAAACCACATGCAGTGGCTGCAGGTGGCGGGCAGTGTGCCAGCGGACACGCTGCAGGGCATCGTCCTGACTGGCTGGCAGAGGTGAGGCCATGCAGGCCCCAGGGACGTTCTCGGGGCCGGCCTTTCCCGGGAGGGTCCAAGCGGCTCCCGTCACCTAGGACACACTGCCCTCCTTGGCCCATCCAGTCTGGGCCTCAGTCCTTCCCGCCATTTGGTCAAGGGGAAGCAGCCGGCCCTCTGAGGAGGGTGTGGAAGGACCAGCTGCACAAAACAAGCCACTTGGGGTCAAGCCCCTCGCACCACACTCTGCAGAGGGGACGCTGCTTGGGGTGTTCAGGGCCCTAGGGCACTGGCCCTCCTGGCCCATGCCCTGTCTGAACCACCCGTCTCTGCCTGTTCACCCCATCCTGCGCCCCACCCGAGGTCATGCTGGGAGAAGCATGAGGTCAGACTTTGGCTTGTTTAGGATTTCATACCATTTGAAAAGTAGAGCTACAGTTAAACCCCTGGTCCCAGGCAAGTCCTGCCCTCAGGTCCCATCCTGAGGGGGAGGCCAGGTGGCCCTGACACCAAGAGCAGGAGGCCCTGAACCCACAGGAGGGAGCAGGAGGCAGGGCTGACCCACTGGACCTCAGCCCTCACTCATAAAGCTGAGTCAAAGGTTAACTTAGGGATTTCAGGGTGGCAACCACAGAGAACTAAGCCCAGGCAGGTCACTCTGGGTGGGGTTCCTGCAAAGCCATGGAACCTTCTGGAAGCAGCAGCCGCTCTGCAGAAGCTTCTAGATCCCTGTCCTGTCTCGTGGTGACTCGTGTTTGAGCATCTGCTGTGCTGAGCACCCCTCTCCCGCGGACTTAGGTATGACCACTTCTCTGTGCTGTGCGAGCTGCTGCCCGTGGGAATCCCGTCCCTGGCTGTCTGTCTGCAGGTGCTTCTACATGGTATGGTCCCCTGCTTCTCCCAGGAAGCCTAGTGCCCGGGGCCCCCAACTGCCACCTCCTTGGGGCTGGACTGTGGTCTTCCAACCAGTGTGGGGGAGGGGAACGCACCCATGGCCCCGGCTCAGCCACTCACCCACCCCACTGCAGCCCGGGTCTTCGAGCCTAAACCCAAGACACAGACCAGGAAGTTAGGGGGACATGCCCTGCAGGCACAGTGAACCCACAAGGAAATTCATCATGGATAGGGTGCAGGAGAGAGCCTGCCTTTGCTGCATAAATATCCTGAATGCCCAATGCTGGTGGGTGTGGCCCCAGAGAGGCAGCTCCCTCACCTCTGGTTCCCGAGGGAGCAGCCAGGTGTGGGCATAGATGCTTAGAGACAGAGGAGACCAGCAGGCAAGGTTGGTGACGAGGCCCTGGTTACATAAACCGCATGTTATACGGGACCAGGTGGGAATTTAAGTAGCAACGTATGTGGTGTTGGCACAGAAAAACATCGAGGTGGTTGAGGAAAGTGAGGACTGAAAAATAAACACACTTGGTATTGTGCTGAGCTACAGGGAGGTTTCCAGAAGGACAGATACTGGGACTCTGGCTTATCCTTTTTTGAAGTGTCAGTTCTGAACTCTTTGGGGAAAGGTACAGACAACAGAGCAGATGCCTGTGCTAATAGGAGCACATTGGCCTTGGCACCCCTTCCCCAGGAGGCAGGCAGCACAGAGCCCCCAGCGTGTTCTCACCTCCCCACCAGGCTGCAGTAGCCTTGGGCTAACCCATCCCTGAGGTCAGCACGTGCCCAGCTGGGCCTGGCCGGCGGTCCTTCTCAGTTGCTTTGCCCACCACCCACGCCCGAGGGCCAGGAGGTCCAGCCAGCACGGAGTCCAGGCCACCTCCTCCTCCAGAGGCCCCTCCAGCCTCCGTCTGTGGTTGGTTTTAGGCGGCTTTGCCGAAAACGTTAAAGCAAGAGTGGAGAACTTTCTTGGGACTTCGAGCTTGGAAGCAGCGGATTTTAGGAGGTAACACCCTCCCCCCCAGCCCTGCCCGTCCCCTCATATTTGGATGCATCCTCAGCACAGTGGCTCCCTGTGCAGTGAGAGGGCCGGCTCCTTCCCTGGCAGCGACATCTTGAACCTCATCACACAAGTCAGCCTCCATCTGTGCAGCTCCGTGGATGCACTGCTGGAGAGGGACAGGTGAGTGGGCGGGGGAGTGACCCCCCACCCGGCAGGGTGAGGGCCAGCCAATCCTGCAAGAAGACTTTCTGGGCAGAAAACACCTTTTTAAAATTTCCACCAGATTTTCAAAGGTCTTATTTTACAACCACTGAGCCTTACAAGCCACAGTATACCTATCTGTGTGTGTGGATTTGCCCCCAGGTATGTGACCGGCTGGTTCAGCCCCTACCATCGCAGGCGGAAGTTCATCCACCCCGTCATGATCCAGCACATCCAGCCCCAGGCGCACAGGTAGCCCATGCCCCTCCCAGCTGTGCCCATCCCCGAGGCTGCCCACCCTCTGCTGCATGCTGGCAGCTTTCTGGACAAGCTTTCTAGGTATTGCAGCCGTGGATTCCTAGGTGACGCAACTGCATCAGCTGTGCCTTTAGGCTTTAGAGAAGCTGGGGCGTTCCTGCCTGAGAGGGTGAGGGTCACCAGATGCCCTGAGCAGGGTCCAGGGCTCACCATAGAACCAGACTGCCTAGGGCTGATCCTGGCCCTGCGGCTGCATGTGTCACCATGGGGACAGGGTCCCAGCCAGCCTTCCCCAGTGCTCTCCTGGCTCTGAGAGAGGCCAACACAGACTGTCCCCGCTGAGTATAAGATGCAGTCAACTGTCAACAGGTTCATGCACCAAGAAAAACCCTGCCAGCCAGTTGTGAAGTGCCTTCTAGTTTCAGAGGCCAAACTGTGACAGTCATTCACTTATTCCCAACAACCCTATGAGGCTGGTGCTAACGGCCCTGTTCTATGGATGAGTAAACTGAGGTACGGGATGTACTGACCCGTGGGGTTCTGGAGGCCATGAGGTATGCCCCAGGGCCCTCGCCAGGCAGGCTCACTGCCTCCTGGTCCTCAGTCTCCTGGCCAGGTGGAGCGTTCTCGTGGGGGAGCTGGAGGCTGCCCTGCAGCGTGTCTTCTACCCAGACGCAGTGGAGGAGTGGCTGGAGGAAAACGTGCGCCCCAGCCTGCGGCGGCTGCAGGCTCTGCTGCAGGATCTGGGTGAGGCAGCCGGCCCCAGGCCCGACTCGGGTCAGGACCCCTGAGGGGAGGGGGCCAAGCTCAGGCTGTCGGCCTTCCTGCACCCTCATCCAGCTGCACCCGGCCCCACGTGCGCCTCCTGAGCCCTGGGCAGCCGTGCCAGCAGACAGCGCCCACAGAAACAAGAGTAAACATGGAAGGAAAAGACACTCTGGGCCTATACAATGATCAGCATTAGAACTTTAATTCTTTCAAAATAAAAAGGAGTGGAAGCCAGAAATCTCAAAGGCTTAGTTACTGGCCCTCACGATGGTCTGGACACCCTCCTCGCCCCACCCAGCCCTGGGAGAGGGGAGCTGGCCAAACACCCTCCCTCCTCCAGCCCAGCGGTAAACACACAAGAAACCAACCATAGCTGTTTCACACCTTTTAAGAAAAGAGTATTTCAGGTTTAACCATTTAGAAACCTAACTTTGGCATGTTTCAATGACTGTGTGCCCAAATTAAGGGCTGGCTGGCGCCACCACTGGTAAGGGAGAGGATCTCATTTCTCTGGAGTTTCCTGGAAGTTGCTGTCTCTCACCCAGGCAGCCTCAGAACCCCTGGTCCATGCAGCTGTTCCCAGGTGCACAGCCTCCTGGGTCCCTCACTCAGAGGTGCTCTGGGCACATGCTGTACCTCGGAGGAGCCTAGGTTCAGAGAAAGCAGGAGAAAACTAATGGTGCAGTTGAGGGTCAGTGTGGCTGGCACCCAGACTCCACGAGGGTGGCTGCAGCTAGCTGCTCAGGCGCTGCTGAGGGGCAGCCATGAGCCCAGCGATTCTGGCCCCAAACACACAGGCCCAGCACCAGAGTTCAAGAGAAGCTGGGAATCTGGGTTCTGAGGGATGGGTCCAGGTTTTTAAGTGCTGCACAATGCTAGAAGAGGGAACTTCTGCCTATACTGGGGGCAGGGGCGGGAGGTTATCCTCTCTGTGAGAGCCCGGCTGCAATCCTGGTTGGACTCGAGATGAGCCACCTGAGTGGACAGCGGTCTGGGGGCTGTGGAAGCCTCAAGAGTGGCTGCAGCACACCAACCAGGCGTGCCCCTAAGCGTCCACCCTGAGCCCCGGCAGCTCCGCAGGCAAGCACCTCACTTCTGACCACTGAGGACATCTGGCTGTGGGGAGGGATGGGCATGGGGAGCAGGGCAGGAGATGGGATTCCTGGGGATGACGTGTGGCGGCAGCATCCTCAGAGCCTCGCCCAGCCGCTGGCCCTGCTGGAGTCTCACCGCAGCCCTCAGGACCTGGTCCTGGAGAACCTCTCGACCCAAAGAACTCAGCCCTGGCCCTGATACCCTGGGACCCTGGGTGTTCTTCCTTCCCATTTCACAGGCCTTGAGCCTCACACAGCTAGCATGTCTGACCTGTCCACACCAGGCCGCTGTCCCAGTGGGCTGTCTGATTCCAGGAAGAGACAGATCTGAGGCCTGTGCCCTCTCTGGACCGCTCGGAGCCTGCAGAGAAGGTCCCACTGTGGTTTTGCTCAGAGGACAGAAGCAAGCAGCAGGAACGGCTGAGGGTCCTGCCCCGGGGCTTCCAGGGACACAGCAGGGAGCTGAGGAGGAGGACTTGTAGGCGGCCCATCAGTCCTGCTGGGGCCCCACCAGAACCAAGGCAGGGGTTCCGTGGAGGTCAGCTCTGGTCCCCAGGGCCATCGACCTCACTGTCACTGCTCTGAGACAGCTCCATGGGACTTTCAAGGCAGTGCAGCTCCAGGAAAGTAGTGATGAGCTTGGCGATGGCTTCCACGTCACTGGTCCAGATGGGCACAGGGAGGAAGGGTGTGTTATTGTGACAGGTACTGGCCACCCCGCAGCAGCCACAAGACCATACCTGTCTCACCCCAGGTATCTGCCTCCGGTAACCCACTAGGACCCAGCACCTTCAGTCCTGATCCCCACCCCCACCGGACCCTAGCCCAGTCCTCTGTGCCCACTGGGGACCCCTGACGTCCCCATCCCCTCTCTGTCCCTGTGGGGACCCCTGACCTCCCCCTAGTGGGTGGTGCCAGGCCTGCTCCCCTGGCCTCACCTCCTCCCCCACGTTCCTGAGGCCTCTCTCTATGCCCTGCCGTGCTGGGCAGTTCCTGGGGAGGACCACCTGACTGGGGGCTAGGGGCAGCCCTGGCCAATCAAGTCACCCATCAGCTTACCTGCGGTGGCCCATGACAGCACTCTGCGTGAGGGGGTGGGAGAAGCCCGTGGCAAACCGAAGCACCACCACATAGCCCTTCCCGAAGTACCGGACCTTCTCCTCCTCCACGTTCACGTCCCGGATGTCACTGAGCAGGACCACCACTGTGGGCAGGGCCCTGTCAGTGGCCGTGTCCCCCACTCACCCTGCCCCTCCCACCTGGTGCTGGCACAGTTGCTTCGGGGCCACAATGCAGAGGATCACATCACGCTTGTCATGAAGCAGAGAGCACGTGTCACTCCATGTCTGAGGCTGGGCTCATGCCGAGACCCTGACCCTAGATGTCACAGGTCAGTGACCACAGTGCAGGGTTGTGTGGCTGCTGGTTAACGTCCAGTCTGGGTGAGAAGGAATGTCCAGCAGGCCCACTGTTGTCTTGAAAAGCCCACCCCTTCTCTCAGTCTAACACGTCAGGGGGCGGCTAAGCACAGTGCTGCCCAGCTTTCTGCTTCATTTTCCCCAACTGCGGGAAAATGCCGTCCTGGTTTCTAGTGGCCAGTCACTGAGCTGGGGGCTGCCCAGCAATTTCCTTTGGGCCAGGGCACGTCCGGGGTACACAGCGTCCACGAGGCAGAACACAACCCTGGTCACTGAGCGGCCAGCTTGGACCCAGCCCGTTTCCAGGCCTCAAGCCTGCTCCCTGCCATCACACACAGACGCTCGCCGCCCTCTGTCCATCCCAGAGTAACCCGTGTCCTGTTCACTCCCCACACCTCACCTTGATCATGGCCTGCTCTGCAGAGAGTCAGCAGCTTCCTATACAAGCTGAACGTCTTCAGCACGACCTTCCCGGTGCTCTTATTGAAGGTTGCTTCCTAGAACGCCAGCCACAAGGCAGTCACCTGGCTGCTAGCCTGTGAGCCAGCCCAACACACACAGACTTGCCGACTGCGTCCCCACCCTCACCAGAGCAGACACTCAAGGAGGCGGCCCCTCTTCCTTCCCATCCCAGTCAGAACCCCAAACCCCTGCAGCCTGATCTCTCCAGGGGCTGGGGTGTGAAAAGGAGGAGCCTCTCCGCACTCAAGAGAAGCGAGCACAGCGGACGAGGTCATCAAACAAGGGAATGGAGATCGGCAGTCAGCAATACTGGGGCCAGGCGACCCAAAGGACACGTGAAGAGGGACAAAAGGGAGGTGAGGGAAGTGGCCTTGCCCTTCTGTTCTAGGAGAACTTCTGGGAGAACAACAGCTTTAGAGGATTCCTTCACCTAGGGATGGTCACAGACAGGCAATGTCCAGAGGCCAAGTCCAGCTATCCGGAAACCACTAAGCTCAAGTTTCAGGATGGGGGGGCATTAGGCCCCTGGAGCCTTTCTTCCTGCTTTGATTCGCACTGTAGGGAAGCCCAGGAGCCCAAAAGCCTGGGCACCCTTCCTGTGCTGGCCTCACCTCCCAGTCCTCCAGGTTCTGCACGGCCACGAATAGACAGCCCGTGACATAGAAGAGCTTCCAGCCCAGACTATCTGGGGAGCAAACACAGGAGACAATCAGGCGAGGGAAGGCAGCAGAGGGGTGAAGGCCAACGTGCCCAGAGACGGTGCCCCCTCCCCAGCACAGCTGCTTCCCAGACCGAGGGCAGGAGTGGCACCTGGGGGCCTGGCTTGCTGCCCATGCCTGCAAGGACACCCAACCCTCACCATGGCCACCTAGCACTGCAGGCCCTGTCACTTGGGATAGGACGTGCTCCCCCAGTTCTGCCCTCACTCTCCCCTGGATGTCTACTCGTGATGGCAATCGCGGCACGGTGAGTAAGAGCAGAAAGGTGGGAACGCTTACAGGGAGCTGCTGAAAGCACGGATCATCCCTGCAACAGAACATGAGGCAGACACAGGAGTGCCTTTCTGAAAAATATTTTATGATATATGAAAATGCTGAAGATGTAAATGAAAAACATAAGCTGCGGGGGACACACCAGCACGTGGAAGTGGGCCGCATCCGCAAACAATTTAGAGGCAGAGGCAGTCCCCAAAGCCATGCCCTGGCAGATTACAAGTGATGGGTTTCCTTTTTTCCCTCTTCCAATCAGCTGAGGAAGTTCCTGGGGGGCAGGTGATGCATCTCACCTCCACTGTAGTAGGCAGCAGCCAGGCCAATCGACAAGATTCCTGCGAGGAGAAAGCAGGTACCTTCCCATTGGGCCACCACCAGCCCAGAGCCCAACTCCTCCCAGGACCCACAGACCCAGGTAAGCAGCCCCTTCCCATTGCCTGGGATGGCTGAGGGCAGGGAGCAGGGGGCAAGAAGACCACCAGGCTCAGAAGTGGGGGAAACAACTGGGAAGTCTGTTGAGAAGAATGTTCTACACCAGTCACAGTATTCACTGGACACATGTCTATGTGAGGTTGCAGAGCTGACGGGGGAACCAGAAAGAGGAACCTGATGTGGGTTTTACCCACTGACAGCACATTGTGTGGAACGAAGACAAGACTGAAGGTAAAGAATCACAACTCGGCACATGAGACAAATCAGGCAGAGTCCTGGGAAAGAAGGCCCAGAGCCAGGCCGCTGAAGGCACAGCAGCTTCTCCCCACACACCTAGGTTCCAATCAGCATGGTGCAGTTGCCCAGGGAGTGCAGGGCCCTCCAATGGGTACTGACAGGGATGGAGGCCAGGGCCCCCGCCGCCTTACTCCTCACTGTCTCCATCACGTGGGCCCTGACATAAATCAGATACCTGGGGCTGGGTGTATGACAACAAGCAAAAGGGGAAGTACGGGGACCTCAGAAGAGCATGCAGAGTATTAACGAAAGGATGTTAAATGGTGAAAAAAGACAAGACAGACACACATCATCTGTAAAAGCACACATAGAGGATAAAAGATGGAAAGGCACAATAGTTGCCACATCTTGGGGTAGCAGAACCACGGAAAAATTTAGTGTAATTTGCATCCTTTTTTAAAGTTAGATTTTTAACTTGAGGACAAATATGAACATCCTTACCAACCAGCAGGGACCAGGACCTGATGCCTGGAGCCCTCTTCAGATGGAGGCAGGAACTGGTGCGTGTCTCCACCTGCATATACATCCCTGGAACGTGC